AGCGACGCAAATGACGGAAATAACCTTGGACAACTGCTCGCCGAACTCGTCCAGTTTCTGTTGCAGTGGTGTCTTGATCTCTTCAGTCTCCGACATTTCAGTACGGATCTTACCGATAGCAGTGCTCAGTCCAGTGCCAATAACGATGCCACGGGCCTTGCCAGCGGCCACGTTGGTGCCGGAGAACAAAATGTTCTTTTTGTCCTGGTTGACGGCGCGTGGATCGGGAATAGCGTCGGTGTGCTTAATAACCGACACAGACTCGCCAGTGAGGATAGACTGATCGATTCTGATGGTGGTGGAGTAAATGTGGGTTAGGCGAATGTCGGCGGGGATCTTGTCACCAACAGACACCTCGACCAAGTCTCCGGGGACAATCTCTTTCGCCCTGACCTTCTGGATGCCAGATTTGTCTTGACGGACTACCTTGCCCATCTCTGGCTCATACTCCTTGAGAGCCTCAATGGCGGACTCGGCGTTCCTTTCCTGCCATACACCAACCACCGCATTAGCTATCAGAATAAGTAAAATAACTAGGGGCTCTACAAATGCAGTGAACGTCTCTTCGTGTTCTTCAAATAGCGCCAATACCTGTGATTAAATAGAACGATAGCATGTTTATATGCGGAACCGAGTAGAGCAGTTTATACAACTCCGGAATGACTTGGACTTACAAATGAAATGATGGCTGCCAAGAGCAAAATCTTCACTAGAAGATCGTCGAACTGCTCTAAAACTAATTGCCAGATACTCTTTCCTGCGAAATAAAACAATTTGTAAATGTGAACGACATTAGGACGGTGTTTGTTATCATGACCATGAGCGCGTATTGCACTCGATCAGAGATTGACTGCGCACCTTCCTCAGTTGGCAATTCTGAAATGATAAAGAGGTGAATGCAGGTGAGTCAGTGTTTCTTTGATATTGATGTTGACCAATTGTAATTACCGTTGGGTCCATATTTCGCCTGGTTCGCCTTGATCTGCTCAAGGGTAAGACCGCGCTCTCCGTCTGTACCGAAGAAGTTCAGAGACTGTTCGACGGTTTTCGAGTGACCGTCTTCCATTTTGATTTGTTATCCTCTTCGTTCAGTAGCCTTCACTTCATATGACGTGTAGAGATTGAAAATAAAAACAAAGCCAAGCACATTTTATTATTTTCTGATAATAGGTTTCAGTGCGCGTTCTGACAGGAATAGTAATTGAGAATATCAATATGCATATGCATACGCAAGTGTATTCATATGCAGTTAAAACTACCTCATTAGATTGCGTATGTATGTATGTGCATGCGAGCATTTACAAACGTACATATGCATGTACCTGAATACGTACATGTGTGCAAATAATGTACGCTTGAACATACATATGTACATCTGTACTGTAGAGTAAAATGCAAATTCATAGACATTTGGGTAAAGTAAATGAAAAGGTAAGGCAGGGAGGTGGAGGTATGGACCAGTTGAGACGTTTAGTGGTCGAGCAACTATTAACAATTAATTAAGTACTAATTAAGAGTTTGTAAGAATGTTGGCATTACCGCTCGAGCCAGAATAGTCTAATCTCCACTTATGAGATTCACACACGTGTCACTTTGCACAACAGAGGCAATATTTGCCAAGATCGCCAACACGCAATTTGCTTTCTTTAGGTGTGTATTGATTCAGTACAAATCATATGAAACAACGAACGCACTGCGTTTTAAGTACTGTATTTTCACTGCAACTTGTTATATATTATATGCCATGGCGCTTTTTTTTCTAAATATGTGTGCTTCTGATAATATTGCACTAAGTCTCGAGCCGCTGATTTTGAGAGTTGTATCGGCGTTCTTTTCACCTGGCGACTATGACACGACATTTATTGGCAGCAGGGTTGCATGTAACCAGTCATTTATGAACATATCGATAGTGCAGCAATCGCTTTGTCCTATACCTGATAATTCAGATTTGTATCTATATAATAAAATATATTTGCTCAGATCAAATCAATTGTTGTGTCTCCGAGAAAACCATAACGAGCCGAGCCACCACTGTCAACTGAAACACACAGCAGGGAGTTTACGACTCTACCCAACACTGCTCTTTCGCGCTCTTTCACATTCAAATAATTTAGGTCCACTCGTACAGCAGAGCAGAGAGATTTCACTTTTGAACAATAAAAACGAGACGTGACATCCAGAACAGAACCGTGGACTAGATATACATCGGAAAATTTTGAACCGGATCCAACAATTTTAATATTGTTTGGATTATGTGAGAATATTTACGAGGCACAGTCTAATTCTAATTATATACGTGTCACATGTGTCAAAATCTAACGGTATTTCGACCATTACAGATTCAACGTTAATTAAATAATTCATATTTTAGAGATGTTTAAATTTGCACGAATGTGTCTGGCTAAAACGTATTTATATAAGTATGTGTTTCTAAAATATACACATATATGTTCTATATATTCCGTTTATACATACATGACATGTGCATATATAAGTCTATAGGTGTGCGTTATGGAGCAAAAAAATTGACTCTGTCCGAGATGAGCTAAAAATAGCAACCTAGCACCCGAAAAATACAAGCTTAATTTTGAACACATATGTACATATATAAATATGTACTGGGAACATACGGCCATACATACATACATATGTGCTGGGAGACGATCGTAGGGTGGACTTTTTATATGCATATGTGTCTTTAGGCATAAGTATATTTTTATGGCTCAAGATATTTAGAGCATTCTGATGGATGTCGACAAATGTAGAGGAGAGCTCTCCTCGGCATGAATTCTCTAATTCCAATTGACAGTTGGGCAGAATAGATCTCCTAATGAATTGTATAATTCATGTGTATGGGTAATGCATATGTACAGTAAATATCTGCTATCCTTCGGCAAGGAAAATCTTACGTAGGTCCACAGCCTGGTCGGTGCTTGCAACGATGGGCTCAGGTTCAGATTTCTCAATCTGTCAGAAATGAATTATTTAATCATATTTTCGAATGGACATAAAGAATCCTGGTACATAACCCAGTAGAGAAAACGATATGATATGATATGTACAAAATGGTGTAAAAACGTAGCATGCATACAGTGTTTCGTTCCTATTCGCCTCGGGGGGCTGACACAACGGTTGCATAATCAGTTTTTCTATCACAGATAGATGTTATGGCTATGCACGGGGCTATGCTATGTAGGACACAAGTGAAAACTTTACATCAGTGTGTCTTTTTGGGACTGTGCATTGGTATTGGTGACATTCAAAAATTTCAATATGACTACGGAGGTCGAGGTTGTGTTGTTCACTGTTTGTCCTCTTTACGGATAATTTCCAATGGATATCTGTAGGCGGGGGGTGGGGGTTTCAACTAGTAAACTTATAACTAAAACTGTGGAAACACTTTAAAACACCAACTCTCAAGTGTAAGGGTGTATGTAGGTAGTTTATATAAATTGTTGAATTTTCCATGATTTTAGGCGCGCGGTTAAACATTTTTACATTTTGGGAGTATTTTCTTTCTTTTTTTTTGGATTCGGTTTTTTTTTTTGGAGAGTTTGGAGTAAAACACTACTTATTTTGTTTGGAATTGTTGCAAAAAAATCAACAAAACTTACAATTATTATTCTTAGTAAAAATTCCGTTATTATATAATAAATTTATTTCAGTCGGAAGACCAAGAGCTAACACATAGATCGCGCTATTATAACGATCAACGGCAACTGAACGCAAGGAGAACGCTGCTTGATGAGAGTGTCTATTTGAATTACAAAATTCATATATTTTGGCAAAATTCCCAAAACTACATACACTCTCTATTTTGGCCCGGGAAAATACTTTTAGCACGCACAAACTTTTGAGCACTTACCACCGATTGTTGGCGGTTGTGCTCGTGTGTTCTTCTGCTCGGATCTCGCAGAAGGAAAATATATTGTCGGCCGCAGATACATATACGTAGGTAGATGTAGATACGATACAGATACATACAGGCACATCCATATGGCTGTATGTACCAACGTGTGCTGTTCTCAAAGATGCGAAGCGAAGCTGTGTGGGGCAATATGGGGAGATGATCATCGGTATTTGTGAGTGTAGAGCGTATTTAAAACTGCACGTGTGTCTGTTTAATATTTAGAAATCGTTATTTATAAATTCTGCCCCGTGAATCGTAGTATGTTAGTGCAAAGCGTTTGACACAGGATTATTTGGATAAAAGCTTGCGATTCTGGATTTATCAATGAATAGTTTCAAAAAAGTCAAGTTCATTGTTAATTGTCAAGAAATCCCATTAACGTGATAAATATAATAAAACCCCACAATCTTGGTTTCTAATGTATGGGCTTTACTCGTGCCACATTGAAACATAGATGGTTATTATTTGTATCCAAGCATGAACCTTATTTTTTGGTACTGCAGATAGCAATCCCAAAGTCAGAACAATTAAAAGAGTGTGCACGTTCCGGATATTTTTGCTTTTTTTCTTCTAGTTTCAGCAGAGACTGGCAGCCGTCGTTTAGCCGCTTAAAAATAGTCTTGTAATGCCTTTATGGCCTCTCAAAAAGTTGGCATGAGCGCAATCGCTCTCCGCACATGTTCTTTTCTGTATTATATCCGCCTTTTGCAGCACCTATAACAAAATTTCAGAGAGCACCCATAAATATGCATTTGTCTACTATTTTACCTTTCATATATGTACATATACATATATGGACACTATTTTGTAAACTACCTGAATAACTTAAAGATATAAATATCAGGGTCACGGCTCGACTCCGGTGCTAATCCCCATCTGCTGTAGACCCAAAAACGCATCAAATAATCTTGTACTTATTGAATAATTTTTGCATGGTTATACTCGATATATAATCATCATAATATTACATTATATATACTTACCAAATCTTAAAACTAGATACATCCAAAATTATCCTAAAAGTGCTATGTTTTAAAGAAGTTTTTGATTTTTCTGATTATAAATATGAGTAACATGGAATTATTTGTTTTTAGAAATTCTGATATTATATAAAATTTATTTTGTATTCTTTGACTCAAAAGATTACAATTTTGTTATGTAACAATTGCATTTGCAGTTTGCTTAGAAAATAAACTAGCAAAGGTGTATGTAACTCCGACAAATAAAAGCAGTCTTGGCGAAATGTCCTTCCCCGCGAAAATGCATTTCCGCCTATAAATATATTTAATGCAGTGTGCCATTATTTCAATAAATAATAATTTTCGTTTTGCAATGACACATATGTATATTTTCATTAAAAAATATGTACACACGTTCACTGTAAGGTCTGCATTGTGGGCTATTTATGTCTTGGTCGAAAAGAGGTAGGAATCTTTTTTTCCCGTGGTCAATTTAAGCGCATTTTCGCTTCCAACGATGTTGCTCAAACTAAGAAGGTCATACTTTGTATAGAGTATATTAACACTCATTTCATCTCCAAAGCCGTCTCGCGGGTTCTGGTTGGATTCGAGCATCAAATTGATTAGCTCTGAGTAAAAGTGCGGAAAGTTTGGCGGTTGGTACATAATTAAATTTCGGATACCCTTGATTCGGGTGCGTCGGAAGAAGTGCGCCCTTTCCGAATAAAGCAGAACAGACGCTCCGCTGTGGAAGAATATGTCTCTCGCCCGGGAAATTTTTTCCTTCTTGGTGTATTCGCTTATCTGAACAAAACTAATCATATCAGTTTTGAACTGATTGCGTATACGTACGAAGTCGAAGTAGCTGGGCACGTACAGCATACAATGCGAAAAGCCGGGTTTACTAAATTGGGGCATTATGTGCTTGACAAAATGCTGAAAGCGATCATCGAATGTTGACTCCACATTGGAGCAGTTAATTCGCCGGAAAACTTGTTGAATTGGCGTGATGACATTCCGGATATCGCCTTGTTCCACTAGATTTGTGACCCGCACTTTGCCTTGGTAGTTTTGGCATTTGCTGTTGAGCACGGCCCGAAATTCTGGAAGCTCGTGGGATGAGAAAAATAAGGTTTGACGGTAGAAGCTAGAAGCTCCGCTCAGACACCAAGTCCGAACCCGTTGGCAATTTGTGTCCGGCAGTTTCTGCGGTTGCAGATGAAGGTGGTCCAGCGAGTGAAGTAGATTCTCCCAGTTCTGCGCTAGGAAAAGTTCCGCCTGGTCGATTATAAGTAATTCAATTGAGTTTAAGAAGTCAAAGTCATTGTCCTTGTCCGTAACAAGCATTCGGAGTCCTAGCGGGGAAGCGATCAGTATGTCTGAGGAGTTCATATCAGAAAAAAGCGAAACGGCTTTCTTTGTGAAACGCATTCCAATTTTAAAGTTGTCATCTGTGTTTCCACTGAATGTTTGCTCATAGTCAAATGGTTTTGGGTTCGTTTTCGGGAAATATATCGTATTTCCCGAGTAATCTTGAAGGAACCGCTCATAATTTGCCATTGAATTTTTCCTGGTTTGATCTGCAAAATAAATGATGGATTGTTTTTCTTTGGCCTACAACTTGTCTTTCTTACCGTCTTGACTTCCAAATAGTAAGTCTCCGATAACCTTAACTATCTTCAAAGCCGACTCCCTGAAGGGCACTATAAAGAGCACCTTCATCCGCTTCAGTCCTTGGTCTCTGAATGTCTCCGGAATAGAAATTTCATTCGGTGACAACTTTAGTGATTTGGCCAGTGCCGCCACTTTCTCATTATTACGCAGAATCAGTGATCTGACCTTTAGCATGTGGTTTAGCGCATGCAGGCAGTACATGTACCGGATCTCTTCGGCATTGCTGTGTGTTCGGTGGGGATAGTATAGGTCCTGATAGTTATTCGCAATGTGAAAGAGTTCAGACTGTAGCGAAGAAAGGGGTAACGCAACCTTTGCGCTTATGGACATTTTGACCTCCAACTTTTGGAGATCAGAAGAGTCCGAAATGCCACTCGGTGGACTGCAGTCGGGATTGTGTGTATTCGCGTCTAGCCGTGGTATTTCAAACTTTAAATTTCCCACTGCCGGCCAACTGCTCTTGATCATTGTGGCATCCGTCCGCGAAATCAAATCGTTGACATTGTCTGCAGAAAGGTCATAATCAAATCGTTTCGAAAATGAATTGTACGAATCAAAGTCATCATTCGATTGGACAGGAGTTTTTCTCTGTTTCTCAATGGATTTTACTGGTGTAGGCTCCGAGGTCCCGTCGTTCTCGCTTGCGCTGAGAAATCGGCCTGCAAAATCATTGTAGTCAAGGAAAATGCTTTGAAAATATAATTTATTGCTTACATACTTGTTTGTACGTTGTTGTATCCATTTACCAGCTGCTCATAGAATCCAGTTTCGTCATGTAATTCGTCTTGTAATTCGGGCAGCAGATCTGCTTCAGGCTCAAATCTCCCTGTCAGGGCCGGTCGTTCCTTTCTGTGCGATTCCTCCATTTGCTTGCTTCTCTGAATGTAGCTATAGTTTTTCGAAAATTTCTCATTCTTGCGAACGGGGGCCACCTGCCGGTATGGCTTTACTTTATTTTTCGAGTGTTTCTGCTTCATGTTAATCTCAATTTTCTAGCAAACAATTTAAAATAGAACAATTCAATTCAACTAAAAACACGCACGTGCAGTTTTGATAAACATAAACATATGGATCCGATTACAAGTATCGATATAACATAGTGGTGGTAGATATGTGGGCACGCTATTGTGAATGGAATTAAGTTAACTAAATGGGAATGAAATATTTTATATATAGCATATTATATTATATTATATAATATATTATTATTGTTATATTAAAATATAGAATGGAAATCTAGTGCCGAAGATTTCCATCCGCACATCAAGCTGCAGTAGGCAACTTCCAGGAAAACGATTGCGAATGTTTGAACGATTGGTGTCGGGCAGGGTGAAGGGTAATCTCATCCACCCCGCTCTGGAGAGCGTTTAAAACGGTTTAACTTAACGCAAGGTGTTTAGTTCACCTGTTTAAATAGAGGGGGTTAAGTGGGTTAAGTTCGTTTTTTCCTCAGTGTATTACGGTATATTTTTAAAATGAGATAGTATATTTCGGTAGTAGAGCTTGAGAATCATCGATTTTTGACGACATGTTTTTAAAATTGTTGTGTAGCTTAACCCATTTAGTCCCGAAGGGTTTTTAAAAAACTTTAATAAGAATATAATAACAGAACTTGGTCGAAAACATAGTTATGTTGCTTAAATACTCAATTAATCTTAGGTATTCGTGGAGGTACAATTATTTTTTCAATAAACTCTTATAATAAGCGTGGCATATCAAAATTTCATCAAGCCGTCTAGAAGCAGCGCTTAGTGGGTTAAATTGAATATGTGAATTTGTGAATGTATGTATATAAAAAGTGTATATACAGTTCCATATATTCCATATATATATATATTTTGTATATACAACTAAAAATCATCTTTTAATCAAAACATATGATATTTTTAAATTATTCTATTTAACAAAAAACATCGATGATTGAGAAAAATCATCGATGTCTGCAGCGAACACTCAAACATCGATGTTTCTCCAGCTCTAATCGATAGACCCACTGCTAACTTTTTTTATATTTTTTGTAATGGGAAGCGATCGCACGTCAAAAAAGCTAAAGATGTCGGTCCTGCAACAACTTAAACAAATCACCACAATAGTGGCTGACACCGGCGACTTTGAAGGTACTTAAATACGAATATACATACATACAAAGTAAAGTAAAGGTGAGGTTAATAGTTCACTTAAAGCTGAGTTTGATCTGGAACATACACACACATACAAAATAAGCCGAAACATGCTTTTCTGAAGTATGTAAATGTTATGCTGTATGTTCAGGAGTGGAGTTCAATGATAATCATACAAATGTATGTACATACGTGCATGCATGAATAACATCTCTCTATTCGAGTTGCTGTTATCTTCTTTTGTGAAGATCAAATAAAAGTGAAAAAGCAGAATTCAACCTGACTTTACTTTGACCTTATGTGCATACGTGTGTTGGAAATGTGACCGCTGTAGTGATAAGGTTTCAAATCTACAAGCAATTATACATAGGTACATACATATGTGTTTAAGAGAGCTTTGGCAATGGAAGGTCAAGGATTTGTTCATGTAAAATGAAAGTCGGCCGGCCTGTGGTTTTGTTCAAACCGGTTTAAAGGTCGTTCTAACAACAGTCTAAAAAGTGATTCAGCCAGCCTTCTTATGCAAATTGGTTTATTCTAAACACCACTGCAAAGAAAAAAAACTTGACATTCAATTTTATTTTTAGCCATCAATATCTACAAGCCAACGGATGCCACGACAAATCCTTCCCTTATTTTATCGGCGTCGTCCATGGAACGGTACCAGCCCTTGGTACAGAAGGCAGTGGACTATGCTAAGAGCCAAAAAGGGTATACATTTTTAATATATTGCTTATATGTACTTTCATATCACTAAGCTCTGCAATTTGTTTTCAGTTCTTTGAACGATCAAGTTTCCGAGGCAATGGACTATTTGTGCGTGCTGTTTGGAACCGAAATTCTGAAAGTTGTTCCTGGAAGGGTGTCTACGGAAATAGACGCCCGATTGTCATTCGACACAAAGAACAGCGTGGCGAAGGCATTGAAGCTGATCAATCTGTATAAATCCCTTGGAATCGAAAAGGAACGCATCCTGATCAAATTGGCATCCACCTGGGAGGGAATCAAGGCGGCAGAGATTTTGGAAAACGAGCATGGTGTGCACTGCAACCTGACCCTTCTGTTCTCATTCGCGCAGGCAGTGGCATGCGCAGAGGCTGGTGTCACCTTAATCTCCCCTTTTGTGGGACGGATATTGGATTGGTATGTGGCCAACACGGATAACAAGAAGTATGAGCCTCTAAAGGACCCTGGCGTGATTTCGGTAACGAAAATCTATAACTACTATAAGAAGTACGATTACAAAACCCTTGTTATGGGGGCGTCATTCCGGAATGTGGGCGAAATCAAAGCGCTCGCTGGATGTGATTTGCTGACGATTAGCCCGTCGCTGCTGAAGGAACTGGAGAACGATATCGATTCGGTGACCACATATTTGTCGGTTGACAATGCAAAGGTGCAGGACATCGAAAAGATTGCCGTGGACGAGAGCAAATTCCGTTGGTTGCTCAATGAAGATCCAATGGCAACTGATAAACTTTCCGAGGGCATTCGAAAATTTGCAGTGGACACCGTGAAGCTGGAGAAATTGATCAAAAGTTACTTTAAGTAAGCCCTTGGGCTTTCTCCGGTACCAGTTTCAAACCACGTGTATGCGTTGTAATGGGTGGAGGATGAAACATGTTTCAAAAAACATATATTTTTGTACTTGAATAAAAATTAAAAATTAAAAAATGAGCATTTTAGCGACAGCGAGACGTGGGCTAAGTTCAATTATTAAAATTAAAAGGAAATTATTATCTTGTCTTCTGGCGGAGCTATGTATATATCGCTTCAAAGCTACTTAATTCCGAGGAATTATATTCTACTCCTAAATATTAATATTATTAACTTTAATAATTAAATTTTTATGCAGACTAAGTGGATAGCACTATACAACACTGGAATTGCACAATTTCGATATACATGGCACAGAATTAAAGGAAAATTTGAAACACAATACCCTTGCGAACAGGATATTAGAAAATTAATGAGATGTTTGTAACAAAAGGACGTACATGGATTAATTGGGTGGTTTTGCCGAATTCAGAGTCGTTCATGGCACAAAACTACCGATATCACTACATCGATATCAACAAAATATATCGGCATAGTATCAATATATATTTAACATCCCATCCCTAGGTTGAATACATAAAATAAAAAATATAAAAAAAGTGAGTTAGTGTGGTTTAAAAATGCATTTTTAGTGTGATAATTCATGCCATTGCAATCCAGCGCAGGTGGAAAATGTTTGGCCATTTCCGCTCATAGTCATAGTCCGCTCCGCGTCAAGTGTCATCAAAGTATCTTTTTCTGCACCTCCGAAAGTTGCTCTGCTCTCCGATATCGTGTGCACCTTTTGCTTTCAGCCACCCAAGTTGCTCCCATGAATAAAAATGTTCGGTAATGCACGGTAAACAATAACCATACCATTGTCAAACATAGGGAACGTATACGCCTGTGACAATGATGTGATTCGGTGGCCGAGGTCCGAGTCGACTTCCTTTCATCCTTAGACCCGAAATCAGTGAAAAATCGTTCGCGCATGAATTCAAAATACTATCAGATGGGTATAATATAGTTTCCCAAAGTGTCAAAGAAATGGCAAATATACATATAGAGATATATGTACATACATTTATTTATGTACATCCATTCACACATGCAAACGGAGAACTTGTGTCTATATGCATATATATCCAAGCACATACATATGTATATATGAGTAGATACACAACGATGTGTATATCTGTCTAATATATGTACATATGTATGTATATATGTACCCGCTTAGATCCCGATGAATTTATGCACATTTATTTACAATTAAATATTCGGTTGAAGTATGTATTTTGGGTGGACAACAATAATTAATAGATTAAACACTTCTGCATATAATATGTACAAATATTCATATTCAAAGTAAAAGTTTAATCAAATTTTCGCCCATTTACATACATATATTTCGGCAAAAAAAATATATATATTCGCCCACTGAATGAAAAATATAGGCATCGTACATACATATGTATGTATTTTAACTGCCTTACGGGCCTGCAGATGAAATTATGTTGGTATCTCTATGTACATGCGTACCTGCACCTTTGTATGCGCAAAAATTCCACCCGCCCTCTGCTTCACCTGTTACACTGCCCTGATGTACAAGATTCGTCCTGCTACTGCTGATGGGGTGCCGTGCTGATGTATTCAAGTGAAATATTGCCATTTTTTCAAGATTGATTTCGAATGTAGTTCTGCAAACGCGCAGCATAATTTTCAGAAACATTAAAGCTCTGCTTGAACCACAAACATTACATTCAATCCGTGACTCACATTATAAATGTCGTAAATTCGTTTGTATACACCTGCATTTATATACATACGAGTCACAAAAATAGTACACAATAAGTAAACAAAAAGTGAATTTTTAAGCTAAAGCTAAATCTTCAATTGGGATATTAGATAGGAGTTGTGCAAAATTCATTGAATGCTATCTTCCCTTTCAAATCTTAGGTCTGCTGAAACTAATTTCATTTATTTATATTTCTAATGCCCTGAATTCAGCTTTCGGCGCGTATCTCTCGAAGCTCTGAGCGACCGGTGGTGTTACTGAGATTGGGGAAGTGAACGATACAAAAGGAAATTGTGTATTGACTCGAAAACTCAGCTATACTGGAGCAGAACGGAGAAAATACAAGGGGTGCCGAGTCACCCGACGCCAACCAGGAAAATCGAGCGACGTGTTGGTGGACGCCCTGGGCTGCAATGGGTTGCTTTGGGTCCCCCACCTCGAAGCAGTCCGATGTGAACTCGGAGGATTCAAAAAGTCAAAAGCGCCGGAGCGATGCAATATCTAGACAGTTGCAGAAGGATAAACAGCTCTATAGGGCCACACACAGGCTGCTCCTGTTGGGAGCCGGTGAGTCTGGTAAATCAACTATAGTCAAGCAAATGCGAATATTGCATGTCGACGGATTTTCTGAAACAGAGAAAAAACAGAAAATTGATGATATTAAAAAGAATATTCGAGACGCTATCTTGGTAAGTGCTATACACAATTGTCCAGCATTGACAATATTATAGAGTTTTGTTTTTGCCAAAAATTATTTTCATTATATACGATTACTTACCGATGCAAACATTATCAATTATTTGTCTTACAGACTATTACAGGAGCCATGAGTACACTTAATCCACCTGTAGCTTTAGAAAAGAAAGAAAATGAACCCAGAGTGGAATATATTCAGGATTATGCATCTAGTAAGATATCAGATTTGGAACTACATACATATGTACAAAATTCAATTAAATTAAAATTAACTTATAAATATAAATTTATAAAATTGAATATTATGATCATATAAAACCAAACGTTTAAATATCGAGTGTAACTCTCAACATCTTTTTAATTCTACAGGTCCGGACTTTAATTATCCTCCTGAATTCTATGAGCATACCGAAGAACTATGGAAAGACAAGGGCGTTCTTCAAACCTATGAGAGATCAAATGAGTATCAATTAATTGACTGTGCGAAATAGTAAGTATAGAATTTAAATTAAAAATGTTAAGAAAAAGTCGGATTAGAAGTTCAATGTGTCATATATGTATATTTTAAACAACTTCTTAATATCAGTGTGCTTGCCGACTTGGCTTACATTTTTGATGATCATACAGACATCTATACCGCCAAATCCAAATTTATGTTCAACAATACACCTGAACTGAAAATATTCTGATAGTTTTACTGTGTGTTTTTCCTGAAAGTGCCACAAACACTGATGATTAAAAGTATACAGTGGATTGAAAGTATGGATTAACTATTTATAATACTAAATAACACATATTGCTTGAGAAACAAAAACTAAGTAGGCTTCTGAAATATCTTAATTAACTATAGTTGGCAAACTACAATTAATAAACAATTTCTACGAGTATTTGCTGTAATAGCTATGACAGATATTATTAATCCATATAGTTTCAGTATACTGGTTTACAATTTAAAATTGTAATAAATGCTTATAGCAGAAACCTTGTAAGATAACCATATTCATGCATGATATTTTATATTCAAGCTTTCTGGATCGTGTTAGCACAATTAAGAACCCAAACTATACCCCAAATGAGCAAGATATTCTTCGATGCCGTGTTTTGACTTCTGGAATATTCGAAACAAGATTTCAGGTGGACAAAGTTAATTTTCAGTGAGTAAAAATGTCTTTGAATGCATATTATTTGAGTCTTAACTGGAATGTCGCGTGTGTACAGCATGTTTGATGTAGGAGGACAGCGGGACGAGCGCAGGAAGTGGATTCAATGTTTCAATGATGTAACTGCTATTATATTCGTAACAGCGTGCTCAAGTTATAACATGGTTTTGCGTGAAGATCCCACCCAAAATCGGCTTCGAGAATCATTGGATTTGTTTAAGAGTATTTGGAATAACAGGTAAAATCACTCAACTCAATCACAATTTGGGTTTGCTTTGCTTATGGTTAACCTTCTCATTTTAGATGGCTTCGCACGATTTCTATTATACTATTTTTAAATAAGCAAGATTTGTTAGCAGAGAAAATTAAGGCTGGAAAAAGTAAATTGTCGGAATATTTCTCCGAGTTTAACAAATACCAAACGCCAAGTAAGTATTACCTAATCCAATCCCGCATCAATATATATATATATGATATATACTTCGATATTTGTCACCAAACAAATAAATAAAAAAATAAAAAGAAATAACCAATTAAGATCCAAATTATTGCAATAATAAACGAAACATACACCCAATTCTGATCGTAGAGCAGCTGGTTAATTATTAAGGATTGTACCTTTGAAGTTTACTTTTAAGCTCATCCATATGTTGATAGAATTTCTTTAATGGTTAATATGATATTGTCTTTTTTTAAAATGTGTTGTCGACATAGGTGACGCAATAATGGAATCAAATGACGACCCAGAAGTAATACGAGCAAAATATTTCATACGAGACGAGTTTCTAGTAAGTCAGCCCAGCCCACCCTTATATGACGCTTATATGATTGGTACAGTACACGACAACTAATCGTTTATATTTCTGTTTTGTTTTAATAGCGTATTTCTACCGCTAGTGGAGATGGTAAACACTACTGCTATCCACATTTCACATGCGCCGTTGACACAGAAAACATTAAACGAGTGTTTAATGATTGCAGAGACATTATTCAAAGGATGCACCTTCGTCAATATGAATTGTTATAGGTTATCCCCCATCGCCGTAATGCAAGTAAATAAAAATATTAATGACTTACTGTTTTAAATATAATTATCAAATGTAATTTGTATTTAAATAGTCCCTTGATTAAAAGAAAAAAAAATTCGCTGCATTTAGATCTGGTATGACCTTTCACAAAACTCAACATTAAAGAATAATAAATAAACATGTTAATAACAATAATATTTGTTTTATTTATAATATATATTTGAGTGCATTTATTGTATTTTCCATAATTAATCCCTTGACATGAAGCCTATTTGGAGGAGTATCTGTAGTATCTTTCGGTCGTGTATCGTTCGTAGCCGTGAGAATTTACAAGCGCTTAAAATGATATCACTAGACAAGTTGGTTCAGAATGCTGAAACTGGCCGATGCCTTGTCAATTTCATCGAAGTTCCTTTTGAGTTTGCTGCCCCAGGTATCCTTGTTGTAGATGGGATCCATTCTAATAAGATATGGCACAGTCTCCCTATGGTGGCTACTTCCGACGGGTTTCCCCGGTACTAATCGCTCCGCGCAGGGCTTAACGTTGTACTTGGTTTTGAAATCCGACTGGCTACACTCATAGCAGACGACTGTTTGCCCGTTCGTGGTAGCTATTAACCTGCAACAGAAATTAAACATTTTGATCATCATTTCTTTCCTTCTTCATTCACTCTGTAGGGTGTCACTGTGTCACTGTTTGACTGTTTATTTCTCTTTAATTAAAAGAGGTAGGAGGTACAGTAAAAAACTCACATAGCAATCAATAAGTTGCATTTTAGCACCGAATAGTTTCTAGACCTTTGAAGTTAGAAGGTTTAACATGGACGCATCTGTTATCTGTATATGTATACAGCATTTGTTTCGATAAAATTCGGATAAGACCTGATAACAGCAGTTTAATCTTGAATATTTGATAAGTCCGTTAGACAGTTACTATTAACGTTCATATGTTACTGGATTTTTCATATGTACCTATGTATGTGTGTACATAAATACATATGTACATATTCTAAAAATGGTTGAAAAAATAAACTTTCTTTTGTGGATGGAAGTTTGCAGTGCAGACAAAGACCAGACCACGGTCGTATAATAACTAGATTGATGCACTTACCTTACGATAAAAGGTCCGTCATATTTCTTTGATCCGGCTTGCAAAAGAGAAAATATATTTTTAAAATAGTTTGAAGAGTTAATTAAGATTGTGTTAAAGAATATAATGTAAAGCAGAAACAAGCCATGTCCTTCTTTGTTTTACCAGATATATACTTATGTACATATGTATACCGTACATGCTGCAGAATCTAAAATATTGGAATATTACGACATAACTATACATTTTTATTACAAGTATTTAAGTGATAATATATTTATATGATACAAATAAATAAATAAATTTTCGGTTTTCAGTGGTATAAATTAAAAAACTACGTATAAATGCAATAATTTATTAACAAATAGTAGCTACATCCTTTGATATGTACACATCAAATAAGTATCCCTTACATTATTTACACTTTACAGTCAAATCATGTACATATTACGATGGTGCGGTCTGCAATGTTAGAAAATCTTAGGCGCTTAGAAGTCTGCTACTCCTCTTGATTAGATGTCCTCCACCAATGCTATCTAAATTACGCTTAGACATTGCCCGCGACATCCTTTCAGACAGAGTTTCAAAGTTTTTATTCTTTGTAAGTAACATGCTTCTTAAGAAACTGTTGTAAAATTCATTTAAAAAAGGTGAAGCGGTTGAAATGTCATCGCTTATGAGGCTGGTCGGACGAAAACTTTCGCCGTTCCCGTTACCAAATTGCTTTAAAGCTGAACGATCTGGCCAAAATAATAAAAATTCAAAAATAATTAATTATATATAAACAGATTGGCCATTTAAAACAAAATAATGTAAACTTTTTTTAAATGATAAATATTGGATGCCGGTCAATAAGTAAATTGGACTAATGGTATATTATGTCTATATAAGACAAAGCTATTTATAATATGAAATTCAAAGTACAATTTTGGATACACATATATATTACCTTCACACAGATATTTTCCATCCATCAATTCGTCATTACTTATGTCCTGCAATAAATAAGTTGAAGTTCATTCTAATGTTTTCGACCGACTTAAGCCTTTCGATGTACACTAGGCGTAACTAGGATAGTTTTCTACTATAATGTTTTAAGTCATACGGACATAAATATGTATGCATGTATTTTAGGTTAAGGTATTCACTCTGAACAATTTAAAATACATACCACGCTTGGTGCGGCTCTTATAATGTTCAAAAGCGTTGTTACAATAACCAACACAACGAGTAGATTCATATTCTCAATTATATCCCTAGTCCGACGAAACTTCATATGATGAAACAATACTCCTTGGAGTGTGAAAGAAGACTGTGCGATTCAGCCAGTCCGTTGTTCGTTTTATACTGTATTGTGTCCGTAAAGTAAAGCAGGGTAGGGTGAGGGAAACACACAAAGTTACGATAGCTTCCGACCGCTAGGAGCCCCCATCCCATGTAAACGCACCCACTATTAACAGCTTAGTTGTGTGGTTTCCTTTATGCTTTTAATGCGTCACTTGCACCATATTTCAAATAATTTGTGGTAAATACTCCAACAAACAGAACAGTAGTGGTGTCAAGATTTCAGCAAACATACGTGCATTCAAACCATATGCTCATTTTTATTATATTTAGTTTTCATTTACCATCGCATAGTTAGGTTTGAGTTGCCTTTACAGAATTATTTTCTTTTGGTTGTTAATTGAATTATCTACGAGCATGTGTTGAGTTCAAATGGGCTCTTGAATTAAACTCCTAGAAAAATTACTGCTTCAAATCAAGTGAATCAAGTGCAGGGTTTTTTTTTCAGATATGTACTTATATATGTACATCGTGACATAGTATGCCAGGATCCTTTAAGTCATTTGAACATCTTGGACAGAATGATATAAATAAAGAAAGTTATAAATTTCAAAAATATATTTAGTTTATAGTTTTATATAGTGATGAAAAAGTATTGCCCGATATTGGGGGATCCGTACTGTCAGATTGTTACAGAAACAGCTCGACTGCTTAGAAACTGACCAACATTAGCTATATACATAAACTAGGGGACAAGCCCCCTGCGAAATTACCTGGCAAACCATTTGTCGCAGTCAAGTTTCCAGTTTCCAAGTCAAATTACCGGTGATCCAACTTTCAGTGGTAAAATGTGTGGTGGTGTGTCGATCGATCTGTATGATACCAATTAGTCAGTCAACAAATTCTTTATCCTTATGGGATACTGGAGAGCGTCGTATGAACGGTGTGTGTCGGCGATGAACTCAACAACAGGTGCTTTGAATCTATGTGCTCCTCATGTGGGGTTTTATCAGGATTGATGAAAATAGTGACTATCCACTTTCCAATTTGTGCATGTGTGATTTTTGATGGGTGGTGGTAGGAAGGTGAAAAATAATTTACGACCTATTTTCAAACCTACTTATTTCATAAGAATCGGTCGAGCCGTTTTTGGGCAGTTTAACCCGCTTTCTTGTCCGATTAGATCTGGGAAACCCCCTTGCCCTTGCTTCACCAAAGAGTTGTCCAGACTTAAAAAACCTTAAAATCAAGACTTTATGAATAATTTCCAGATGGATTCCTTTCTCTCTTACTCTCTCGCTATGAAAAAGCTCAGTCGAATGGCTCCGTTCTTAACGCTTAATGCTATGCTTTAGCTTCGTAAACAGCAATTGTCGATCTTTTGTCCCAATTTTTCCAAGCAACATATTCTCAGGAAAGCTACTCTGGTCTACCTGATAGAAAAAAGGCATAGTAAAAATAGCTACAATCATATTTGAATTTAAAATGCGATTTTTTAATAATTTAAATTAATTAATTAATTTTTTTAAAATTAAGTAGAATTCACTTTGATTCAAACATAATTGTATTAAAATGGCTTTTTTAATGCGTTCATATTTAATCTTAATACAAAAAACTTTAAAATAAATATAATATTTTAAATTTGTAGTTTAATATGTTTCATATTTAAATTGAATATTATTATGACTTGATTTCAAAATTTTTGTTTTAAAATCAAGAGGAAAACTTTTTATTTTAAATAATCCATATTAAATGAAATTAAATATTTTTTGTCTATTTTAAATATGTTATATATTTTTGTGTCCCTCGAATGCCCAACTGGTTCACGCGCAGCCTTGAATGCACAGTTTAAATTATCTTCGCGCAGGGGAAATATCACAACCAATGCAGTTCTACTCATGTTGCGATTATTTCTAGTTGAAAACTTTAACCAGTGTGAATTTCCCACCATGAGGACTTGAAATGTAGTCCGCGTAGGCAAAATAACCGATTAGTTTAAAAATTAAATATACTCAATATAAATATGAAACATATTAAATTTAAGCATAAAATATTTTTAAATTAAATATTAAACATATTAGATTTAAATATTAAACATATTAAATTTAAATATGAAACATATTAAATTTAAATATGAAATATATTCAATTTAAATATTTTCATATTTATATCAAAATGTAAGTGAAAAATATTCAATTTTAATACAACCACTCTTGGACGAAAATCAATGGCATAAATCAATATTAAAATCTAAAAATATTAGAAATATTAGAATTTCAGGGATTTTCAGGGATATGTGAATGATTTTAAGCTCTGTGTCCAGTATACATACTCTTTATTTCACTCTCGCTTGGAATACGACCTCAATAGTTTTAAGCCATGTTGTTCAAATTTGGTACACCTAAATAATAATTATATAATAATAAATAATTATTAAACGGTGGTAAGGAATGTAAAGACCCCTAACAAAGACTATCTATAATTCGCTAGTTTGTTCGATTTTAGAATACGGCTCTTAATATGAATACGGTATGAGGGAGTTAGGTTTTCTGACGACCAGGGCGAATATGAGATGAGGCGCCTTATATTTTGGAAGGTTTTTTTGTTTTTGAGTATATCGAACATTTAACCAGAAAACAAATCAAATTCTTGAATAGATTAAAAACAGGTCAATCTCAAAAAAGGTCATTGTTAAGTATTTCAACACAGCTTTAGCATTAATTAAAGAAAATAGGGTATACAAATGCCCATACCACCGTTGACCATCAACAAGTGTTCAAATGACGTAACATTCCGAAAACATTACATTTGTAGTATTAGTATTATTATTATTATTGTATTAACAATCCAAATGGAGTCGCTAAAATACGATATATTGTAGAAAATTGATTAATCTATTGGTTAAAGCTATATTTTAAGTGATATGAATTTTAGCTAGCTTGTAATATTAAATCGAATATCTAAATCGAGGAATATGATCAGCAATAAAGAACGTTAACCCATTCTCGACCAGGTGGTGTGAAATAAAACTCCACTAAAATTATGAAACTTGAAGAACTTTAACGCAGCTCAGGTGAAAGTTATCGTAGAAATATTTGGTGCAAGCAAAGAGGAAGGATGGGTCTTCAAGGATAATTTACAAACAGCATTAATGTAAGCGGCTTAAATCAAACTGTTCACCTGTATTAATAGAAGGGGGTTAAGTGGGCTAAGATAGTTCACCCACTCATGATTTTTGGTATATGTATATAGTATAGTATATTTCGTAACTTTTGTGGTATATTACGGTATATTTCTGAGGGTCAGTCACACTGCTTCTTAGTCTGTTTTGCTTTATTTTTATATCAAAATCAGCACATAAATTATTTTAAAATGTCCAGATTTCTCCTTTCTTCACGAAGACTAATGCCCCAGGTCTGTTAGAGAGCTGCCAACACAAATATTTGATTTGGACTTCATGTATTAACCTTTTACAGCAAGATTTCCTGCTTGCCGGCTCATGGGTTTCCACCCAGTTTTTTCGCGGAAAGGCATCGACTCCCATGAACACCGTTGTAATGTTCGTACCACAACAAGAGGTATGTTCTAATGTTGGATAATACTTATGCTGTCTTATTCCAATTGTAAATGTAATTAATAAGGCCTGGGTAGTCGAGCGTATGGGTAGATTTCATAGAATTCTTGACCCTGGCCTCAATGTTTTGGTTCCTATTGCGGACAAGATCAAATATGTCCAGAGCTTGAAGGAAATTGCGATAGACGTTCCGAAACAGAGTGCCATTACATCCGACAATGTCACACTTGACATCGATGGAGTGCTTTACTTGCGGATCATTGATCCATACCGAGGTTAGTTATACATTACATCGATTCGCGTTCGTGTGTGTGCGCGTATTTATCTTGTTATATCATTTTTAAGCGTCTTACGGCGTGGAGGATCCTGAGTTTGCTATAACACAACTTGCCCAAACCACAATGAGGTCCGAACTGGGAAAAATGTCATTGGACAAGGTTTTTCGCGAAAGAGAATCCCTAAACGTTAGCATTGTCGATTCAATCAACAAGGCGAGCGAAGCGTGGGGCATTGCCTGCCTGCGTTACGAAATTCGAGACATTCGTGTGAGTATTGGAACAAGCGTCAACAGAAATAAATTTTAATCTTGTAATCCATCTGCATAGCTGCCATCAAGAGTCCATGAAGCAATGCAAATGCAAGTCGAGGCGGAAAGGAGGAAAAGAGCTGCTATATTGGAGTCGGAAGGCGTTCGTGAGGCCGAAATTAATATTGCTGAAGGCAAAAGAAAGTCCAGAATCCTGGCATCTGGTAGGATATATGTCTGTGCACTCAGTGGCTTACAACTAATCACATTCCTTGGTGCTTTCCAGAGGCTGAACGGCAAGAGCATATAAACAAGGCTAGCGGTGAAGCTGCTGCCATTATTGCCGTAGCAGATGCAAGAGCTCGTAGCCTGCAGGCCATAGCGAAATCTCTGGCACACATTGTAAGTATAAAAACACTCTTTTTAAAAACTAAGTGCGTTGGGGAAACTAGAAACTCACATAGATATAATCACAAAAAAAACTGAAAAACAACAAAACGCAAAAACACGGTACATAAAATTGGGAAATGTTCCAACCGGAGTATGAGAAACGACTGCTTGAGGGATTAGGGATATCGGGAGCCAATGGTCGAGAGCAGCTGGACTTACGCAGCATTCCTTCACGCGCCGGAAATAACTGGGCCCGAAACTATTCTTTGGCGGCTGATCCAAACCCGGTTCTTGCGGAACAGCTGCATAATTCCCCCTATGGATGTCTGCTGCGAAATGAGTTGCTAGACTCCGAAGTTTCCTCAATCGATCATTGCAAGCGAAGCAAAAAAATTCTTTTGGATGCGGGGGATTTTACCGAAAAGGAAAACATTCGCGTTTTCGGGTATGGAAATTACTCTTCACCGAACAAGACCGTGCGCGACCCATTCTCAATGATTAGCGAATACAGTCGTAGGCTACTGGGCAGTCCGACTAGTGCAGTCCGCCGGGTATCTCGACTGCCGTATAAGGTTCTTGACGCCCCTGAGCTACAGGATGACTTTTACTTAAACGCTCTTGATTGGTCGTCGAAGGACATACTCGGTGTTGGTCTTGGGTGTTCTCTCTATCTTTGGAGTGCAGTAGACTCCCAAGTAACTCGCCTATGTGACCTTAGCGATGACGATAATCTGATAACAGCTGTCAAATGGCACAGCGGAGGAAACGAGCTAGCCGTTGGCACAAATCATGGCTCCGTAGCCATCTGGGATGTCGACCGCGAGAAGCAGATCTCCAACCTAAGCGGACATATAAACCGTGTTACCGCATTGGACTGGCGAGGCAACAGCTTGGCAAGTGGCTCCCGTGATCGGACCATTTTGCAACGAGATATCCGCACCAATATTATCACCAGCTGCTTGCAAGGCCACAGTCAGGAGGTTTGTGGATTGAAATGGTCTCCGACTTGGGAGTATCTGGCCAGTGGAGGTAATGACAATCGTTTGCTAATATGGACGGCTCGAAGCCCTGAGCCACTTCACAAGTTTACCGAACATAATGCGGCCGTGAAGGCTTTGGGCTGGTCTCCTCACAAGTCTGGTCTTTTGGCCAGCGGCGGGGGTTCCGCCGATCGTTGCCTTCGCTTCTGGAACGTGGTGAGCGGTCAGATGGTACAATCTGTTGACACCGGAGCACAGATCAGTAATTTGGCATGGTCGCGAAATTCAGCTGAGCTTGTTACCACTCATGGATTCGGAGAACCACAGATTGTGTTATGGCGATATCCCTCCCTGAAGCAAGTTGTTAACCTGTCGGGCCATAACCGCCGTGTGATCTATCTATCTGTAAGCCCAGACGGCAGGTCAATAGTAACGGGCGGCGGGGATGAGACACTTCGCTTCTGGAATGTATTTACCCAACGAAAATATCCTATAGAACCACGATCACTTTTGAGCCTTTACTCCGATATACGATAAAGTCCAAATTCTCGAGTACCGAGTATAAAACTACTTCGCGAATTTCGATTAACTTTCCGTATATCGCGAACATTATTAGTTATATGTCTTATTACTAACAAAATATATTTTAAATGATTTTTGGGCATCTGTCTTTTCATTAAAAAACCTCTTTTTCCAGGATGGAAAGAATGCTGCTTCCCTTACACTAGCCGAGCAATACATTGGAGCGTTTAAGAAATTGGCTAAAACAAATAATACGATGATTTTGCCGTCTAACGCCGCAGATGTAAATGGTTTTGTGGCGCAAGCCTTGGCAGTGTACAATCATGTTTCCAGCTCAAACCAGTCCAGCATCGAGTCTTCGGCACATGTAAAAAACGTTGGTTCTTGTCTCAATGCCAATAACATTGAGTACAATCAGATCAATGACGAAAAAAAGAGTGTAAAAATGAATATTGAATAAGGATGAATTAAATGATTGTTGCTATTAACATTGAATCTCTTTTTTGAAACCAGCGACACCAGTCCGAGCCGCCTGACCTAGCTTGTCATAATTATCAGCTATTTATAGTTAATAGGGACGAAGGTGAATTCTTCCATCAAGCGTTAAAAATGTCAGTAATTGTAGCTTCAGCCACTAACCATACAGTATATAGATGTGCCAGTTCATATAACGAAAGTTTTCAGCGTACGTTCCCAGGTCTTCGGCTCTGGGGACGATCGCGTTCGGCTCTGGGAATGACCGAGTTCGGCTCATGACGTGACACGAGCCGACTGGCAGCTAGCATGTATGTGTGTACGTGTATCACTCCAAAATATATGATTGATTGCATAGAATAATTTTAGCTGCCGAAAGCGACTTTGCTTGAGATTTCAGTTTACGTAAATGTGTATGTGTGTAACGCAGATAAGGAAACGTTTCCAACCAAATTTTGTTTCCAGACTCATGTGATATCACACTGCTACAAGTGTATTTCAAAATTTCGCCCCGCCCCAAAGAACGAAAATCTGTGGCAGCCACAATTTTAAGGATACCAAAAAAGTAAAAGCGTAGTATCGTAGAGAATGACCAAGAATGAAGAAATTAATTTTCAGTTGCTTTCCCCGCCACCGGCAGCCAGAGAGCTACTCATTCTCTTTCTCGCTCGCACACTCTGCCTCGTTATGTACGCGAGCGCCCTCTAACGCCCCCTAAATGGTACATGTAGAATCTATATGTTAGATGTATAATATACATTGTAGATGTAGATAACAGATGTAGCAAAAAAATTAAGAAGTACAATTTTTTTTTTTAATTCTAATTCCTTCTCGTTTCGATCTACTTGCTCTCATTTTCTGCCTCCACTTTCCACCGCTCAAACGGCAGAAAACGGTTAAATTCAAATCTGAGATACCAGGCGAACAGAAATCAGCAGAAGGTCGCTGCGTTTTTTAATTTCTCTTTTTTTTTCTTGTTTCTCTTTGTATTTCATTGCTCTCTTTTTTCGATCTACTTGCTCTAATTTTCTGCCTCCACTTTCCACCGCTCAAACGGCAGAAAACGGTTCAATTCAAATCTGAGATACCAGGCGAACAGAAATCAGCAGAAGGTCGCTGCGTTTTTTAATTTCTCTTTTTTTTCTTGTTTCTCTTTGTATTTCATTGCTCTCTTTTTTCGATCTACTTGCTCTATTTTCTGCCTCGACTTTCCACCGCTCAAACGGCAGAAAACGGTTCAATTCAAATCTGAGATACCAGGCGAACAGAAATCAGCAGAAGGTCGCTGCGTTTTTTAATTTATCTTTTTTTCTTGTTTCTCTTTGTATTTCGTTGCTCTCTTTTTGTCGATCTACTTGCTCTCATTTTCTGCCTCCACTTTCCACCGCTCAAACGGCAGAAAACGGTTAAATTCAAATCTGAGATACCAGGCGAACAGAAATCAGCAGAAGGTCGCTGCGTTTTTTAATTTCTCTTTTTTTCTTGTTTCTCTTTGTATTTCCTTGCTCTCTTTTTTCGATCTACTTGCTCTTATTTTCTGCCTCCACTTTCCACCGCTCAAACGGCAGAAAACGGTTCAATTCAAATCTGAGATACCAGGCGAACAGAAATCAGCAGAAGGTCGCTGCTTTTTTAATTTCTCTTTTTTTCTTGTTTCTCTTTGTATTTCGTTGCTCTCTTTTTGTCGATCTACTTGCTCTCATTTTCTGCCTCCACTTTCCACCGCTCAAACGGCAGAAAACGGTTAAATTCAAATCTGAGATACCAGGCGAACAGAAATCAGCAGAAGGTCGCTGCGTTTTTTAATTTCTCTTTTTTTTCTTGTTTCTCTTTGTATTTCATTGCTCTCTTTTTTCGATCTACTTGCTCTAATTTTCTGCCTCCACTTTCCACCGCTCAAATGGCAGAAAACGGTTCAATTCAAATCTGAGATACCAGGCGAACAGAAATCAGAAGAAGGTCGCTGCGTTTTTTAATTTCTCTTTTTTTCTTGTTTCTCTTTGTATTTCATTGCTCTCTTTTTTCGATCTACTTGCTCTAATTTTTTGCCTCGACTTTCCACCGCTCAAATGGCAGAAAACGGTTCAATTCAAATCTGAGATACCAGGCGAACAGAAATCAGCAGAAGGTCGCTGCGTTTTTTAATTTCTCTTTTTTTCTTGTTTCTCTTTGTATTTCCTTGCTCTCTTTTTTCGGTCTACTTTTTCTAATTTTCTGCCTCCACTTTCCACCGCTCAAACGGCAGAAAACGGTTAAATTCAAATCTGAGATACCAGGCGAACAGAAATCAGCAGAAGGTCGCTGCGTTTTTTAATTTCTCTTTTTTTCTTGTTTCTCTTTGTATTTCATTGCTCTCTTTTTTCGATCTACTTTTTCTCATTTTCTGCCTCCACTTTCCACCGCTCAAATGGCAGAAAACGGTTCAATTCAAATCTGAGATACCAGGCGAAACAGAAATCAGCAGAAGGTCGCTGCAATTTTTTAATTTCTCTTTTTTTCCTTGTTTCTCTTTGTATTTCATTGCTCTCTTTTTTCGATCTACTTGCTCTCATTTTCTGCCACCACTTTCCACCGCTCAAACGGCAGAAAACGGTTAAATTCAAATCTGAGATACCAGGCGAACAGAAATCAGCAGAAGGTCGCTGCGTTTTTTAATTTCTCTTTTTTTCTTGTTTCTCTTTGTATTTCGTTGCTCTCTTTTTTCGATATACTTGCTCTAATTTTCTGCCTCCACTTTCCACCGCTCAAATGGCAGAAAACGGTTCAATTCAAATCTGAGATACCAGGCGAACAGAAATCAGCAGAAGGTCGCTGCGTTTTTTAATTTCTCTTTTTTTCTTTTTCTCTTTGTATTTCCTTGCTCTCTTTTTTCGATCTACTTTTTCTCATTTTCTGCCTCCACTTTCCACCGTTCAAACGGCAGAAAACGGTTAAATTCAAATCTGAGATACCAGGCGAACAGAAATCAGCAGAAGGTCGCTGCGTTTTTTAATTTCTCTTTTTTTCTTGTTTCTCTTTGTATTTCGTTGCTCTCTTTTTTCGATATACTTTTTCTCATTTTCTGCCTCCACTTTCCACCGTTCAAACGGCAGAAAACGGTTAAATTCAAATCTGAGATACCAGGCGAACAGAAATCAGCAGAAGGTCGCTGCGTTTTTTAATTTCTCTTTTTTTTCTTGTTTCTCTTTGTATTTCGTTGCTCTCTTTTTTCGATCTACTTTTTCTAATTTTCTGCCTCCACTTTCCACCGTTCAAACGGCAGAAAACGGTTAAATTCAAATCTGAGATACCAGGCGAACAGAAATCAGCAGAAGGTCGCTGCGTTTTTTAATTTCTCTTTTTTTCTTGTTTCTCTTTGTTTTCGTTGCTCTCTTTTTTCGATATACTTTTTCTCATTTTCTGCCTCCACTTTCCACCACTCAAACGGCAGAAAACGGTTAAATTCAAATCTGAGATACCAGGCGAACAGAAATCAGCAGAAGGTCGCTGCGTTTTTTAATTTCTCTTTTTTTCTTGTTTCTCTTTGTTTTCGTTGCTCTCTTTTTTCGATATACTTTTTCTAATTTTCTGCCTCCACTTTCCACCGTTCAAACGGCAGAAAACGGTTAAATTCAAATCTGAGATACCAGGCGAACAGAAATCAGCAGAAGGTCGCTGCGTTTTTTAATTTCTCTTTTTTTTCTTGTTTCTCTTTGTATTTCATTGCTATCTTTTTTCGATCTACTTGCTCTAATTTTCTGCCTCCACTTTCCACCGTTCAAACGGCAGAAAACGGTTAAATTCAAATCTGAGATACCAGGCGAACAGAAATCAGCAGAAGGTCGCTGCGTTTTTTAATTTCTCTTTTTTTCTTGTTTCTCTTTGTATTTCATTGCTCTCTTTTTTCGATCTACTTGCTCTAATTTTCTGCCTCCACTTTCCACCGTTCAAACGGCAGAAAACGGTTAAATTCAAATCTGAGATACCAGGCGAACAGAAATCAGCAGAAGGTCGCTGCGTTTTTTAATTTCTCTTTTTTTCTTGTTTCTCTTTGTATTTCGTTGCTCTCTTTTTTTCGATCTACTTTTTCTAATTTTCTGCCTCCACTTTCCACCGCTCAAACGGCAGAAAACGGTTAAATTCAAATCTGAGATACCAGGCGAACAGAAATCAGCAGAAGGTCGCTGCGTTTTTTAATTTCTCTTTTTTTTCTTGTTTCTCTTTGTTTTCGTTGCTCTCTTTTTTTCGATATACTTTTTCTCATTTTCTGCCTCCACTTTCCACCGCTCAAATGGCAGAAAACGGTTAAATTCAAATCTGAGATACCAGGCGAACAGAAATCAGCAGAAGGACGCTGCGTTTTTTAATTTCTCTTTTTTTCTTGTTTCTCTTTGTATATCGTTGCTCTCTATTTTCGATATACTTTTTCTAATTTTCTGCCTCCACTTTCCACCGCTCAAACGGCAGAAAACGGTTAAATTCAAATCTGAGATACCAGGCGAACAGAAATCAGCAGAAGGTCGCTGCGTTTTTTAATTTCTCTTTTTTTCTTGTTTCTCTTTGTATTTCGTTGCGCTCTTTTTGTCGATCTACTTGCTCTCATTTTCTGCCTCCACTTTCCACCGCTCAAACGGCAGAAAACGGTTAAATTCAAATCTGAGATACCAGGCGAACAGAAATCAGCAGAAGGTCGCTGCGTATTATAATTTCTCTTTTTTTCTTGTTTCTCTTTGTATTTCCTTGCTCTTTTTTTTTGGATCTACTTGCTCTCATTTTCTGCCTCCACTTTCCACCGCTCAAACGGCAGAAAACGGTTAAATTCAAACCTGATATACCAGGCGAACAGAAATCAGCAGAAGGTCGCTGCTTTTTTAATTTCTCTTTTTTTCTTGTTTCTCTTTGTATTTCGTTGCGCTCTTTTTTTTCGATCTACTTTTGCCCTAATTTTCTGCCACCACTTTCCACCGCTCAAACGGCAGAAAACGGTTAAATTCAAATCTGAGATACCAGGCGAACAGAAATCAGCAGAAGGTCGCTGCGTTTTTTAATTTCTCTTTTTTTATTGTTTCTCTTTGTATTTCCTTGCTTTTTTTTTTGGATCTACTTGCTCTCATTTTCTGCCTCCACTTTCCACCGCTCAAACGGCAGAAAACGGTTAAATCAAACCTGATATACCAGGCGAACAGAAATAAGCAGAAGGTCGCTGCGTTTTTTAATTTCTCTTTTTTTCTTGTTTCTGTTTGTGTTCATTGCTCTTTTTTTCGATTACCTTTTCTCATTTTCTGCCTCCACCTTCACCGCTCGAAACGGGGCAGAAAATTAGAAAAAGTATATCGAAAAAAGAGAGCAAGGAAATACAAAGAGAAAGAAGAAAAAGAGAAATTAAAAAACGCAGCGACCTTCTGCTGATTTCTGTTTGCCTGGTATTTCAGATTTGAATTTAACCGTTTTCTGCCGTTTGAGCGGTGGAAAGTGGAGGCAAGAAAATTAGAAAAAGTAGAATCGAAAAAAGAAATAAACGAAATAAAAGAAAAAGAAAAAAGAGAATTAAAAGCAGCGACCTTCTGCTGATTTCTGTTTGCCCTGGTATCTCAGATTTGAATTTAACCGTTTTCTGCCGTTTGAGCGGTGGAAAGTGGAGGCAGAAAATGAGAGCAAGTAGATCGAAAATAAAGAGCAAGGAAATACAAAGAGAAACAAGAAAAAAGAGAAATTAAAAAACGCAGCGACCTTCTGCTGATTTCTGTTCGCCTGGTATCTTAGATTTGAATTTAACCGTTTTCTGCCATTTGAGCGGTGGAAAGTGGAGGCAGAAAATGAGAGAAATTAGATCGAAAAAAGAGAGCAAGGAAATACAAAGAAAAAAGAAAAAAAAGAGAAATTAAAAAACGCAGCGACCTTCTGCTGATTTCTGTTCGCCTGGTATCTTAGATTTGAATTTAACCGTTTTCTGCCGTTTGAGCGGTGGAAAGTGGAGGCAGAAAATGAGAAAAAGTAGATCGACAAAAAGAGAGCAACGAAATACAAAGAGAAACAAGAAAAAAAGAGAAATTAAAAAAACAGCGACCTTCTGCTGATTTCTGTTCGCCTGGTATCTCAGATTTGAATTTAACCGTTTTCTGCCCTTTGAGCGGTGGAAAGTGGTGGCAGAAAATGAGAGCAATTAGATCGAAAAAAGAGAGCAACGAAAACAAAGAGAAACAAGAAAAAAAGAGAAATTAAAAAACGCAGCGACCTTCTGCTGATTTCTGTTCGCCTGGTATCTCAGATTTGAATTTAACCGTTTTCTGCCGTTTGAGCGGTGGAAAGTGGAGGCAGAAAATGAGAAAAAGTAGATCGAAAAAAGAGAGCAAGGAAATACAAAGAGAAACAAGAAAAAAAGAGAAATTAAAAAACGCAGCGACCTTCTGCTGATTTCTGTTCGCCTGGTATCTCAGATTTGAATTTAACCGTTTTCTGCCATTTGAGCGGTGGAAAGTGGAGGCAGAAAATGAGAAAAAGTAGATCGAAAAAAGAGAGCAACGATATACAAAGAGAAACAAGAAAAAAAGAGAAATTAAAAAAGCAGCGACCTTCTGCTGATTTCTGTTCGCCTGGTATCTCAGATTTGAATTTAACCGTTTTCTGCCGTTTGAGCGGTGGAAAGTGGAGGCAGAAAATGAGAAAAAGTAGATCGACAAAAAGAGAGCAACGAAATACAAAGAGAAACAAGAAAAAAAGAGAAATAAAAACGCAGCGACCTTCTGCTGATTTCTGTTCGCCTGGTATCTCAGATTTGAATTTAACCGTTTTCTGCCGTTTGAGCGGTGGAAAGTGGAGGCAGAAAATGAGAAAAAGTAGATCGACAAAAAGAGAGCAACGAAATACAAAGAGAAACAAGAAAAAAGGAGAAATTAAAAAACGCAGCGACCTTCTGCTGATTTCTGTTCGCCTGGTATCTCAGATTTGAATTTAACCGTTTTCTGCCGTTTGAGCGGTGGAAAGTGGAGGCAGAAAATGAGAAAAAGTAGATCGAAAAAAAGAGAGCAACGAAATACAAAGAGAAACAAGAAAAAAAGAGAAATTAAAAAACGCAGCGACCTTCTGCTGATTTCTGTTCGCCTGGTATCTCAGATTTGAATTTAACCGTTTTCTGCCGTTTGAGCGGTGGAAAGTGGAGGCAGAAAATGAGAAAAAGTAGATCGAAAAAAGAGAGCAACGAAATACAAAGAGAAACAAGAAAAAAGGGAAATTAAAAAACGCAGCGACCTTCTGCTGATTTCTGTTCGCCTGGTATCTCAGATTTGAATTTAACCGTTTTCTGCCGTTTGAGCGGTGGAAAGTGGAGGCAGAAAATGAGAAAAAGTAGATCGACAAAAAGAGAGCAACGAAATACAAAGAGAAACAAGAAAAAAGAGAAATTAAAAAACGCAGCGACCTTCTGCTGATTTCTGTTCGCCTGGTATCTCAGATTTGAATTTAACCGTTTTCTGCCGTTTGAGCGGTGGAAAGTGGAGGCAGAAAATGAGAGCAAGTAGATCGAAAAAAGAGAGCAAGGAAATACAAAGAGAAACAAGAAAAAAAGAGAAATTAAAAACGCAGCGACCTTCTGCTGATTTCTGTTCGCCTGGTATCTCAGATTTGAATTTAACCGTTTTCTGCCGTTTGAACGGTGGAAAGTGGAGGCAGAAAATGAGAAAAAGTAGATCGAAAAAAGAGAGCAAGGAAATACAAAGAGAAACAAGAAAAAAAGAGAAATTAAAAAACGCAGCGACCTTCTGCTGATTTCTGTTCGCCTGGTATCTCAGATTTGAATTTAACCGTTTTCTGCCGTTTGAGCGGTGGAAAGTGGAGGCAGAAAATGAGAAAAAGTAGATAAAAAAAAGAGAGCAAGGAAATAGAAAGAGAAACAAGAAAAAAAGAGAAATTAATAAAGCAGCGGCATTCTGCTGATTTCTGTTCGCCTGGTATCTCAGATTTGAATTTAACCGTTTTCTGCCGTTTGAGCGGTGGAAAGTGGTGGCAGAAAATGAGAAAAAGTAGATCGAAAAAAGAGAGCAAGGAAATACAAAGAGAAACAAGAAAAAAAGAGAAATTAAAAAACGCAGCGACCTTCTGCTGATTTCTGTTCGCCTGGTATCTCAGATTTGAATTTAACCGTTTTCTGCCGTTTGAGCGGTGGAAAGTGGAGGCAGAAAATTAGAGCAAGTAGATCGACAAAAAGAGAGAAACGAAATACAAAGATAAACCTTCTGCTGATTTCTGTTCGCCTGGTATCTCAGATTTGAATTTAACCGTTTTCTGCCGTTTGAGCGGTGGAAAGTGGAGGCAGAAAATGAGAAAAGGTAGATCGAAAAAAGAGAGCAACGAAACACAAAGAGAAACAAGAAAAAAGGAGAAATTAAAAAACGCAGCGACCTTCTGCTGATTTCTGTTCGCCTGGTATCTCAGATTTGAATTCAACCGTTTTCTGCCGTTTGAGCGGTGGAAGGTGGAGGCAGAAAATTAGAGCAAGTAGATCGACAAAAAGAGAGAAACGAAATACAAAGATAAACCTTCTGCTGATTTCTGTTCGCCTGGTATCTCAGATTTGAATTTAACCGTTTTCTGCCGTTTGAGCGGTGGAAAGTGGAGGCAGAAAATGAGAAAAAGTAGACCGAAAAAAAGAGAGCAAGGAAATACAAAGAGAAACAAGAAAAAAAAATAAAAAACGCACGCAGCGACCTTCTGCTGATTTCTGTTCGCCTGGTATCTCAGATTTGAATTTAACCGTTTTCTGTCGTTTGAGCGGTGGAAGGTGGAGGCAGAAAATGAGAAAAGGTAGATCGAAAAAAGAGAGCAACGAAACACAAAGATAAACAAGAAAAAAAAGAAATTAAAAAACGCAGCGACCTTCTGCTGATTTCTGTTCGCCTGGTATCTCAGATTTGAATTTAACCGTTTTCTGCCGTTTGAGCGGTGGAAGGTGGAGGCAGAAAATTACAGCAAGTAGATCGACAAAAAGAGAGAAACGAAATACAAAGATAAACCTTCTGCTGATTTCTGTTCGCCTGGCTCTCCAGATTTGAATTTAACCGTTTTCTGCCATTTGAGCGGTGGAAAGTGGAGGCAGAAAATGAGAGCAAGTAGATCGAAAAAAGAGAGCAAGGAAATACAAAGATAAACAAGAAAAAAAGAGAAATTAAAAAACGCAGCGACCTTCTGCTGATTTCTGTTCGCCTGGTATCTCAGATTTGAATTTAACCGTTTTCTGATATTTGAACGGTGGAAAGTGGAGGTAAAAAACATGTGAATCTGGGATAAAATCATTATTAATTTTTAAATGGAGCTGGGAACAACAAATTTAACATCAATTAAGGGAAATACGGTATTCAAAAGCCCATACGCATGGAAGAAACTTGGTTGACCAGCAAAAATGACGTCACATTTAGTCAACATTTACGTTTTATGTTTTGGCCGTTTTTGTTTGAACCTTTTTATATAAACAATGCCTTAAAAAGGACTTCTGAAAACCAGCCAATCTTGTAGAAAATTGATGTATCTATCGGAAAAATTATTTGTTGAGTGCTGAGAGGGCCAACTAGCCAGTAATATTCAACTGAATATCAAAATTATGGAATACGATTTCAATCAATAAAATAGAACGTTATCCCATTGTCAACCAGAAGGGTATTTCAAATTTTCACAAAATTTATTTAATTTAAAAGAAAGATATCGGTGGTCATTTTTGTTTTGTAAGTAAAGAGGAGGTTGGAGCTAAAAGGAGCCTTTACAAACAGTATTATTTTACGCGGTTTTACAAAGGGTGCTCAACTTTTTAAATAGAGGGGTGTTAAGTGGGTTAAGTCTCGATTGATCGCCGGATTGCCCTGGTATTTTTATTCTATGGTATTGGTATTTCTCGAAACCAACAAAACAGCTGTTGCTGTACAAAATGGGGCCGAAGCTGAACTTGAGATCGGAGTTGGAACAATTATTTGAAAAAAAGTTCCAATACCAGAAACCGAGGGGCGATGGCGTCTGGGAGCTTCCTCGGGAGGAGCAGCCGTTGTTCAGCGAGTATTATCAATGCGAAGCGTTGCAGAACCTGAAGGAGCAACTGAATGCAGTCAAGAGCAAGCTCAACGATTATGGGGTGCAAGAGTGGAGCTCGCACACGAACCGCCGGGATCCGTCGGGGGAGGTGCCGTGGCGCCTGAAGAACGAAACCAAGGCGGAGTTCGTGACCGTCGCTTGGTGCAAGCTGTTCGAGTGCCTGCATCGCTATCCGCTGGTAACCGAGCCGGTGGTAAACACGCTCCATCTATGCGAGGCTCCTGGGGCCTTCATTGCGGCCCTGAATCATTACTTGCACAGCACATACGGAAAGGATGAGGTCAGTAGAGACACAACCACCTGATGTGGGGAATCAATTAATCGCATCTTTTGCTAGATCAAATGGCGCTGGCGCTCGACTACTTTGAATCCTTACTACGAGGGCAACGCCTTGAACGAGATGATAACCGACGACCGGTTCATATTCCACACGCTGGACAATTGGCTATTCCACAAGGATCTTACGGGAAATCTCATCAATGTGAGCAACATTGAACACATGGTCAAACGCTGTGCAGAAGACTTCAAAGACAACGGCAGTGGAGGCGTCGATATGATCACCGCCGATGGCTCCATTGACTGCGCTGCCCAGCCGGACTGCCAGGAAGAAATTGTCGTTCGCCTGTTCTTCGCCGAGACCATCTGTGCGCTGAGAATACTCAAATCGGGCGGAAAGTTCGTTGTCAAAATGTTCACACTCTTCGAGGCCTGCAGTGTCTCACTTTTGTACATGCTAAACTGCATCTTCGAGCAGGTGCACATCTACAAGCCGGCTACATCGAAGCGCGGCAATTCGGAGGTGTATGTAATCTGCCTGAACTACCAGAAGGATACGCCCGGTCTGGCCCGTTTGCTGGAACAAATGCAGGCTAAACTTGCCCAGCCAAACGATACCATGGTCATGCCGCTGTTTGCCAAATCCCAAATTCCCAACGACTTCATGATGCAGCATGAAATCGCGTGCCGGCTGTACATGAAGCTTCAGACGGACGCCATCGAGAGCAGCATCTACGCCTACGAATCCAAGGATCGTCTATATTTTCGGCACCTGCATCACTTGCGCGGCCTTGTCTCCTCCATGTACTACAATCGCTACAAGGTGCAGCCCCTGGACGATAAGCTGTGCATCGTTGATAAAGAGGTAACGAGCAAGGCCCTTGGATTCTCAGTGCCCATATATGGGGGCTCCTACACAGAGCGAGAGAAGCTTAAGGACGGCGATCTGCTCAAGCAAATATATTGCCTGCGCCGCGAGTTTAATCAACTGGAGAAGTGCCCCAATGGTCTAACTAGCTATAGGTATGCCAAGGACCGCATGGCTCCCCTGGCCTTGTGTGTTTCCAGGGGAGCACCTGTTAAAAGCCTGCAGAGCAGCCTTTTTGCTTCGGAGCCCGTACTTTTGCTGCGTCTCCGCATTCTCGACACTTTTGATCTCGATCCCGTTTGGCAAACTTCACCCAACTGCCAGCTGGATAGTCAGACACTAAACTTCATTCCCTGCTCTGAGGGGGAGACCTTCCACAGTGCACAGCGTCGGTTCTTTGTGGCGCTGTTGGAGAGTGTGTGCCGTCAGCGGCCACAGAAGATTGTGTTCCAGAAGTTCTTGTTCCTCACCCACTATGCGACTTCCGTGCTGCTGTTTCTTGTGGAATCTGTCTACCAGGAGACCCACTTCGAGAGCAACCAATTGCAAACGATCACCCTGAGCAGCCCCAACGATGCGAGCGTTGATGAAGTTCTGGGCCTGCTGAAAAGTGACACTGAAGAAACGGAAGACACCGCCTGCTCGGCCATACACAGTCTGGTGGACATCAAGGAGCTGCAGAAGAACAAGTTCAGCAATGCACTCATCCAGCACAACAACAACGTGCTGCTGACCTGCTTTCGCCGAATGCTGGGCGAGGAATCGTTTCCGATGCCCATCGACATTGCTGCCACTGAGCAGCCGGCGATTGTGTCTGCCATCAAAGAGACCCCGACGCCCATCGATGGCATTGTGGTTTAATGTAACGAACTTGTATTTATCTTTTGCATAAAATTACAGTGCTACAATTAAAAAACTACCCTTCCTACGGATCCTGATCCTTACAAATTGAAATTGGGAGAATTGCGAAACTTTCTACTGCAAAAATCGAAGTTACAACATTAAAAAGCTAATTGAAAATCACAAAATGGGGTGAACTCGTAGACTAAGCGTGAAATAATTTGTTCGCCCTCCGGTGTCCACGGTGTGGTGTGTGCACGAAGGGGGATGAAAGGGATGGGATGGGAGCTTAGTTTGGTTTCGTCATCCGTCTGCGTTTGCTGTTTGTTGGCGGCTCGCCATTGCCACAGCACTAATCAGCCGGACGCTTTTCGCTGTGCTTCTTGGTGTAGTCCTCTGCATTCTTTACGAACTTCTTCCTATCCTTTTGGAACTCCTCGGCCAGCTCGGCGCGTAGTGGATGCTCGGGCTCTGGGTCGTTGATGAGGGCTATCAGAGCCTGGACGACCTGCTCGGTGCGCGTGGCCGGCTTCCAGTTCTCGGTGCTGATGATTGGCAGGCACACCTGCCCCTTCTCATCGATGTTGGGATGATATATGCGCGTCTTGAAGTTTATCTTTGGCGGCTTGAACGGATATTCGGCCGGAAAGTTGATCTCGATACGGAAGGCGCCCTTGTTGTACGGCGGATTGTCGGGCACAATCAGGCCCGTCCAGCGCAGCAGGTTCTCATCGTCGGCCTTGATGTCGCGGAAGGATCTCAGTGAATTATCTTGCAAATCGCCCAGTTCTTTTCGAAGACGTCGAGGGGCAGTCATTTTTTTTTCTTCGTGTGTGTGGTCTTGCCCGATTACCACAACTATTGTGTCTGTGTGTGTGTGTGTGTGTGTTTCGGTGAGTGTCAAATCGATGGAATCAGCAGATATATTAGCTTTTTCGGATGAGTAAGGCAGCGCTAATTGGTTTCGCTTGTAGCTATGAGGTTCCTTTTGTGGGCGGAGGGAACTATTTTTCGCTATTCTGCAAGCCTTGTTACAGAATTTCGTTTGAATGCTCCTTACTATATAAAATATGTAAATTGCGCTAGGGTATTTGGGAGAACGGTGGTATTTCTCATATTTTCGTTACGAGAAATCGATAATTACCGAAACTACGTTTTGCCATCACTATCGCTGTCAGCAACACGTGCGCCGCGTTAGTTTTGTTTTCTGTTAAAAATGACTAAAAAACTAACAATAAAGCGAAAAGTAAAAGAGCCAGAGCCAAAAGATGAAGTATCGGACAGTCCCGAATCTTCCGACAATGAGGAGGAGGAGGTAAGCACCCCAAAATGCAACTTTAGGTCTCTGTCTAATGTCGGGTCGGGTATTTTCGAAGGATCTGTTGCAAGCCGTGAAGGATCCAGGCGAGGACTCCACCGACGATGAGGGCATAGACCAGGAGTATCAGACAGACAGTAGCGAGGATCTCGAATTCGAAAGCGATGGAGAAGGCAACTATCTGGGCAGAAAAGGTGCCGAAGGCAGTTCAGGAGACGATGAGGACGAGAGCGCAGAAGATGAAGAAGAAGAAAAAGAGGGCGATGATGCTAAGAAGTCTGGCAAAAACAATGACGAAGAGCCTGCCACAACGTCCAAGTCCATCAAGAAATCCCAAGAGAAGCCCACCACCAGCAGTAAGAATGGTGGCGCATCAGTGGTTCCCGCACGGGATCCCTCAAAGGTGGAATACGCCGACTCGGACACCTCTGACGAGGAGGACATCCGCAATACGGTTGGCAACATTCCCATGCACTGGTATGACGAATACAAGCACATTGGCTACGACTGGGATGCCAAGAAGATAATCAAGCCACCGAAGGGCGATCAAATTGATGACTTCCTGCGTAAGATCGAGGACCCGAACTTCTGGCGCACTGTCAAGGATCCAATGACCGGCCAGGAGGTGTTCCTCACAGATGCCGACATTGCTCTCATCAAGCGCATCGACTCGAACCGCATACCCAACCAGGAGCACGACGAGTACGCGCCCTGGATCGAATGGTTCACCTCGGAGGTGGAGAAGATGCCCATCAAGAATGTGCCGGACCACAAGCGCTCCTTCCTGCCTTCAGGGTCGGAGAAGAAGAGCGTCTCGCGCATGGTGCACGCCCTCAAGATGGGCTGGATGAAGACCACCGAGGAGGTGGAGCGGGAGAAGCAAGAGAAGCGCGGCCCCAAGTTCTACATGCTGTGGGAGACGGACACCAGTCGGGAACATATGCGACGCATCCACGACCCCGTGTCAGCGCCCAAGCGCGACCTGCCCGGCCACGCCGAATCGTACAACCCGCCGCCCGAGTACCTCTTCGATGAGAAGGAGGCCAAGGAGTGGCACAAGCTGAAGGACGAGCCTCACAGGCGAAAGCTGCACTTTATGCCGCAGAAATTCAAGTCGCTGCGTGAGGTGCCCGCCTACTCGCGCTACCTCCGCGAACGCTTCCTGCGCTGCCTTGATCTGTACTTGTGTCCGCGTGCCAAGCGCGTCAAGCTGAACATCGATGCAGAGTACCTCATCCCCAAGTTGCCTTCACCGCGCGACCTGCAGCCATTCCCAACCGTCGAGAGTCTGGTCTACCGCGGTCACACCGACCTTGTGCGGTCCGTCAGCGTGGAACCGAAGGGCGAATACCTCGTATCCGGCTCCGACGACAAGACGGTCAAGAGTAAGTGGAACTGAAGCCATAAAATTCTCCTAATCGCTTGCTAACCATTTGCTTCCTTCTTGCAGTTTGGGAAATTGCCACAGGTCGTTGCATCCGCACCATCGAGACCGAGGACGTGGTGCGCTGTGTGGCCTGGTGTCCGAATGCCAAGCTCTCCATCATTGCGGTGGCCACCGGCAGTCGTTTGCTGCTGGTCAACCCGAAGGTGGGTGACAAACTTCTCGTGAAGAAGACAGACGACCTGCTGGCCGAGGCCCCAGTTCTGGACGTCATCGAGAACGAGCGCATCAAGACGGCAGTGCAGTGGGCCAATGCTGAGCCCGCCGATCAAGAGAAGGGCGTCAGAGTGGTCATCACCCACTTTAAGCCCATTCGTCAGGTGACTTGGCATGGCCGCGGCGACTACCTGGCCACGGTGATGCCCGAGGGCGCCAATCGCTCGGCCCTGATACACCAGCTCTCGAAGCGACGCTCTCAGATACCCTTCTCGAAGAGCAAGGGCTTGATCCAGTGCGTGCTCTTCCATCCGGTGAAGCCGTGCTTCTTTGTGGCGGTAAGAACAGATGGAAGCAATTCAATAATTCTGTAGATACTAAAAATCTGTGCTATTTCAGACCCAGCACAATATACGCATCTACGACCTGGTCAAGCAGGAGCTGATCAAGAAGCTGCTGACCAACTCCAAGTGGATTTCGGGCATGTCCATCCATCCGAAGGGCGACAATTTGCTCGTCTCCACGTACGACAAGAAGATGCTATGGTTCGATCTGGACCTGTCCACCAAGCCCTACCAGACCATGCGCCTCCATCGCAATGCCGTGCGCAGTGTGGCCTTCCATCTGCGGTATCCGCTCTTTGCCTCTGGCAGCGACGACCAGGCGGTCATTGTCTCCCACGGAATGGTCTACAAGTGAGTGGCACTGAAACTAATCTGAATAATTATGGAATTAATTCTAATTTCGACTCATTCCTCCAGTGATCTGCTGCAAAATCCACTAATTGTGCCGCTGAAGAAGCTGCAGACACACGAGAAACGCGAGGAGTTCGGCGTACTGGACGTCAACTGGCATCCCGTCCAGCCCTGGGTCTTCTCCACAGGCGCTGACTGTACCATCCGCCTTTACACATAGACGAACAGTAGAGTAGTTGTGCCCTTTCATGGCGGTTGTGTGAAATTTCGATAGTGAATATATTAATTTTTAATGGAACCCAATCATTTCTTGATTTAATTGACATCGGATAAGGTCGGAGGTGGCAGCCATTGCAGCCCTGGCGAAAGCTAATTTTCCCTCAAAGCTATAACGGAATTCCAGAGAGCTTTTTGGCTCTTTTGCGAAACTCGCGCACATTGTGTGAATTTGTGCCAGGAACTCAAACTGTATAGCTATGCGGAGGAGCGGAGCTTTCTCTCTCTCTCTCTCTCTCTCACTGTCTCTCTCTCGGTGGGCACCTTTGGCGCCGCCAGCATATCGTTCTGGGTGAGGAGAGGCGTGGGAATGTGGCGCGCATTGGAAAATCAAGCGCTGCCATGGCACTGCTTGGAAATCAGCCAGCCTTTTGCCAGAGCGAAGAGAAACACGTCCGACACTTGTGCTCGCGCCCGCCGTCGAGGAGGATTTGTGGGTTCTGTTCTGTGTTCTGGCTATCGCAGAAAAAAAATCACACACACACGGACAGGCTCGTTTGTGTATGTGTTTGTGCTGCAGTGAAAATGAAACGGCAATAATGTGTGGTCGCCGCGGAGCCCAAAATATGGCAGCAACCGAAATGTGAATCCAGAGACTGTGGAATACGTTTTTCCGCCATCCATCCCAGTGCTTCAACCTAACAAACAAAAAAAACCTGCAGCTTCCGCTCAGAATCTGCCACAAAACGAATCGGATCGAATCGAATCGGTTGGGAAATCGCAATCGGAATTGGGGGTCGAAATCTAGGCGCAAGCAAAACAGTGAAAAAAAATAGAGATATACGAATACAAATACGGGTATATTTTAGTGGCTGTGGCAAGGCAGAAATTCGTATGTACTCGTTGCTCCTAAATACATACAGACACAGCGCCCGTGCCCGTGCCCGCGACCCCCTCCTTGCCCACTCACACCCCTGCTCAATCGCCTACCCTACCCACACCCACCCACCCCCCTCCATTAACCAACAACCAGCGCTGTCAAAACCAAAGCACACTGCATGTGAATGTGTGTGTGTGTGTGTGTGAGTGTGTAAGAGAGAGTGAGTGAAAATATTAACGGAAGCGCACAGCACGAAAAAAGGAGATAAATAGTGTGATAGAGAGAGGAGAGTGGTGTGAGAGAGAGAGAGAGAGAGAGTGGTTAACTGTTAACAAAACAACAACAGCAGCTGATTTTGTGATAAAAAGCGACCGATCCCAGATCCACCAAAAACCAAAAAAACAACCAAAAAAACCGCGCCACAGCGACACCACAACGTTCTGTGATAGTGCAGCACACGGTACACGCTGCAGCTGTTGCAACAACAACAAGAACTAGGCACAACAATCAGAGACGGCAGGCGACCCCCGCAAGGAGAAAGAGAGACGGAGGACACACACACACAGAGGGCGAGAATCACGCATACGCCCCATCAGCCCGACCTCCGCTGCCAACAATCGAATTACCCCCACTCACAAACACATACGGGAGTACCGTGTAATGACTAGCACAAGAAATAAATAAAACTTAACCAAAAAAAAATATAGTGAGAGAGAGAGAGAGAGCAAGAGCGGGAGAGAACCAGCTCCAGCTGCTCATAAATTTCGTAACGCTTTTGGGTGTAAATGTGCCCCTTGGTGCAGGGCACGCAGTGATTGAGTCGTTTGTAATTTGTGTGCCGTAAATACAACAAAATATGTAAATGCTAAGGGCGCCCACCCACCCACCACCACCACTACCACCCAAAGCCAGACAGGCAGCCATCCCACGCACAAACCAAGGAACGGAGCACAGCAGAAGGGTGGAGCAGCAGGTGCAGGAGAATCAGCCCATTAATAAAAGAGACAAAGAGACAATCCCACTAAATTAAAGCACAAGATCAAAAGGAAAAGGATCCGCTGCTCCTCAAGCCACAAGACGCACAAAAGAAGAAGAAAATAATTCAGTTCAAGACCAAACATTGTCATCGGAAAGTGGAAGCAGCGGGAAAACCGTTAACGGTTGAGATACAAGAAGCAGAGAGAGAGAGAGAGAGAGCGCGAGGCTAAAGGAAATCGAACGATAACGGGAGAGAGAGAGAAAAAGAAGAAGAGCTGGAGCAGCAGTCGATAAAAAATTATTAGCAAAAACATAAATACGTAACGGTTTCGGCTCTCCACCACCACATTGCCATCGCTGCCAGAGAGAGAGAGAGAGTGTGAGTGGGAAGAGCGAGAGAACAAGAGAACAAGAGAGCCAGGGAGCCAGTGAGTGGGTAGGTCAGTGGCAGTGGGCGGTCTGCCAGCTGTGGCAGCCACAACACACCAACACCAACAACAACACCAAAGCCAGCGTCAACGTCAAATCTGAAAGGGCAGGTAAGTGGCGTTGATTTCTTCCTCCTCCCACTCCTTGCCCCATCCGCCAGACCCAGCAGCAGTTTCTTATATTTCTCTCTCCCACCCATACGTCCATCTGTAGCGAAGGGCCAAATGTCCTGTACCGTTTCGGAGCTGCCAAGTGGCTGTCGACTGCGCGGCGTAATGACTGCATCCACACCACAGAGCGCTGCTAACAATGGCGCCAATAGCGGGGGCAACGGAAACAACGGTAACGGCAACGGGAATGGCAATGGCAACGGCAACGGTGGAGGGGGAGGGGGCAGCGGCAGTGCCGTTTCCGTGTCCGTGTCAGTAGGGGGTGGCGGCGTCACGGCAGGCAGTGCCACCTCAAATGTACTGCAAGAGTCAAATGCGGCAACGTTGCAGCGGCCGCAGAAGCCGTGCTGTTTCTGCTGGTGTTGCTGCTGTTCCTGCTCCTGGTGAGTATCCTCGAGAACACCTCACCTCATTATTTTGCATTGCCACTAAAACGGAATCAATTTCTTTGCTCGTTTCTGCTGCTGCTGCTGCTGCTGCTGCTCCACGGGTACCTGTCCCCCCCGCTTAACCACAACTACAACTGTAATAAAAACAACCGTTAAAACAGGGGCAAATGGTAAGTTACACCCAGCCAACAAACCAACCAACCAACCAACCACCCACCGAAATACACATATACACCCACATACTCGTACTCGTACATACGGACATTGTTTAAGGGCTAGCTAGGAAACGCTAGGAGCACAGATGGCTGGCATTTTTCTCGCCTCTGGCAACGCTCCGCGGTGAAAGCTCTCTCTCTCTCTTTTTCCCTCGCTTATTTATTCGTCTTTGACTTTTGCTCTCCCGCATTCATTCACAATTTTGTGAGCGCCAAAAATTGGGCAGGGAAAAGCTCTACACTTCCAGCTGGTTGGGGGGGGGGGGGCGGTCTGGCACTGTTTAAATCAAATATAAATAAGTATGTGGCTGGATGGCACCTCAAAGTGTTGCATTCGGGTTTCGTGAATGAAAGCGAAAGTCTTTTAGTCCGCCGCGTGCCTCCGCACCCTTGTGTGATTAGCTGGTCACACAAGCACACGCTCCGGTACATGCCACAATTTGATTCATACATACGCACTTGATTGGGCATTGGGAATTGGGGGACAGCGATTCGGTTCGAGTGGAGGCGAGGCGAGTCGAGTCGAGTCGAGTCGCTTTGATAACTGTCAAGCAGATAGCGGAGCTTTGTCAAGTTCGAGTGCTTCGTTGATATGGCATTAGCCACTTTATAGAGATTTATATATACATATATACTTGTATCTACACACATGCTATGTACATTTCTAGGAGTATGTATGTTTGTTGTTCCAAATGTACATACATATGCACATATGTAGAAGTGGCTCACCCACCTTTGAGCCAGAGAGTAATCAGGCATAAATCGTAGTCTACTTTGAAGGGGACGGATGAGTGGAGAATAAACTAACCCGATTAGGAGTAGTATCAATGTATATGCAGCACCAATATCGATTTGAATATAGATCAAAAAATATAATATAAATCAAATTATAAGAACAAAAAAAATGTTTATCAGTAAGTAGTTTTGTAGAGCTCTCAGGGACAAATGATAGACGGACTGAACACAATTTAAGACATAAATATGTATGTACCATAGTAAGAGATCGAGACCTATACATTGTATAAGTAATCTCCAATATTTACTTTATTTTTACAGTCTGGCGATCAAGAATGCCGATGAAAATGCGCCCACGAAGCGTGATCTCGCTAATTCCGAATTCCTAGACGGCGAACAGTGAGTGATATCCATACATATATTTTAAAACATATAACTTATATTAAATTCCGTTGCAGACCCACATTAGAGGAAATCCGTAGCTGGGGCAAGAGCTTTGACAAGCTGATGAAGAGCTCCGGTGAGCATTTAATGGAGATATTTGATTTTGAACTCTAACTATTTAACATATGTATTTTTTGACAGCTGGTCGAAAGGTATTCCAGAACTTCCTGCGCAGCGAATTCAGTGAGGAGAACATATTGTTCTGGCTGGCCGTCGAGGACCTCAAGAAGGAGAACAGCGCCGAGGTGGTCGAGGAGAAGGCGCGCCTGATATACGAGGACTACATCTCGATCCTGTCGCCGAGGGAGGTGTCGCTGGACTCGCGGGTGCGCGAGATCGTCAACCGTAACATGATCGAGCCCACTACGCACACCTTCGACGAAGCTCAAATACAGATCTACACTTTAATGCACAGAGACTCATATCCGAGGTGAGTGGCGTCCTCCGTTTGATCGATCAACCTTTTGCATTCCACTCAACCAACCACTTTCGTTCCTTGCAGATTCCTAAACTCTCAAAAGTTCAAGACACTCGCTCAAATGCAAGACAATTCGAATGCCGGCTCCAAGGCGGAAAGTCCCACTTAGATCGCATCGGATCGTTGTCAGTCCTGCGCTGTGTTGATTTCTGTAGTTGCTCTCCATTAGTATTTCCTTGGTTTTGGGCCACGAAGTCCCCTGTAATAGCCGCGGTTGCCTACCAGCCCGCTGCCACTGCGCCGCTGCTGCAATCCCCTAAGCAATATGTATCCATTAATAGAACCATTTAACCATTTTGCGTGCAGCCCCCGCAGTTGGGACCAGGGCAGTGGGCGAGGCGAATAGCCGGGGCCAGGGGGCCCCGAACAAAAGCAAAAGCAAAACCCAAAATCCAAAACCCTTAGACGATATGCATAATACGTGAAACGGATTCCTTCTCTACCTATATTCTAGTCGTTAACAAACCAAAGAGATAGGAGCTAAATTAATTGTTTAATCTTAGAGTGTGGAACGGATCGGAGTCGGGAAACGAAACGAAACGAAACGGATCTCCGTGACGTGACGTGACGTAACGTGACATGACATTATTCAAGGCGGTTCCGGAAGCGTGCGAGGGAAACAGCAGCTAGGTGTAGTATTAGTGATCTAAGAGACGTATTAATCAAATTGCATCAGAGATAACGGAACCGTGAAGAGTACAGTACATTTACCGTTAACCGTAACCGTAAACCGTAAACCGTAAACAGAAATACTTTTTCCAGAGAAACCCAAAAAACCAAAAGAACTTTTTAAACGTATTACATAACTTTATATTAATATATAAATATATATATACACGCATATATAGTACTTACATACATATATACAAAACCATTTAACTTAACTAGTTTTGAAAACGATTAGGATCATATATGCATATGCATGTACATATGTATGTATGTACATAGATAGTAACCCTATTATATACATATGTATGTAGATGTGTATGTATATATGAGTGACGACATCGAAGCATTTTTTGTAAATACCACAACAGGCAGCAGCTCGCACCCTCTCTTTATATGTATATTTATACTACATATATGTAATCCTGTACCGATCAAGACAGTGCAACCAACACCCCTCCCCCAACACCCAATCATCAGCCCACTATAATGCCTCATCTTCCGATTGAGGTCCGATCTAGTTGTTCCCAATCACCTCTTCGAAGGCAAGCTAACTAATACTATATTTATAGTTTCGATTCGCATTGATTTCCAAATCGAATGAAAACGTTTTGCAATATCACTGCCAACAAAGAAAAAGAAAACAGAAGCAGAAACAGAAACAGAAAATGGAACAACACAAAAGAACACTGCAGTCTACAGACATGCTACTATGGATCTATATACATATGCCTTTACTTCCACCCACAACCAAAACCACACAGCTACACAGCGAGACTTCCAACAGTAACCTCCTCGCCCCACACCCAATTGATTTACGCATTCAGACTAACTCTTCAAAACAAAACTATCCAACAACAAAAGCCACAGTATTATTAATAAAAAAAAAAACAACTAAAAATGCGAAACGTATGTATGGTTAAATTTAAATTTTTAGCAAGAACAAATTGTCAAAAGTGAATGAAAAACTAAAGACAATTCAAGCGAAACACACACAGAACAAAGAGATGCGGAGATCAGAGCAGTGCAGGATGCGGATGAAAGTATTGAGGAAAATGTGCATCCTGCGAGGAGAACCCTAGGTAAAAAGTTAACATTGTATTTTCGATTTAAGTTCGGTTTTATTTAAATATGTATTGTCTTTAAGTGGCTTTATCTGAGGCACAGGGATTTTAAGAGCACAAAATGTATTTATGCATGTACCTATGTTACGGGAGGGAGGAGAAGAGAATGTTTTTAGTAGCTAGTCGGTGTGCCTAGTCTTAACATGAAACATTGAATATTTTACTAGCATTTAAGCGTCTTCCAGGTTCCCTCAGTCATAGCTTTAGTTTTATTTGGGTGGACTATTGTCCCAGTCGATCTATTTTTGTTTTCAGTTCTGCATACATCCAGTGCTACACACTAATATCAGAGTTTCAATATATTCTAGAATCTGATTCGTTTCTCATAGCTCATATTCAGTTGTAGCTCAAGTAAAAGGACTATTTCAGCATTTCTATTCACAAATCTACTTCCGATTCGAATCGTTCAGACTGCCACGCCCCAGCTTTGGATTTCATTCATGTTCTGTTTTCATTTAAAGTAGTCATTAACTATGTGATTATGTGCAACTCCGAAGCCAGTTCCTGCCACCAGTTTCCTTTTAATTAATCACTCAGGCTGATACTTGGAATTGAGAATCCGACAATCGATGTTGCTATGGGCTATGCATTACACGTACATACATATATAGATGGACCGTTCGATCAGTTACTTTCCATGGTTTGTTAAATTAATTTTAGGCACTACGGGTAGAACTAGTTCCAGGATAAAGTGAATAGGTGGAAGCCCCGGAGGAGCAGGAGCGTTTGCTAATGATTGTTTCTCTTCGGTTTCTTGCTTTGCAGAATGGACAAATATAAGACTTTTTGAACAAAATCAGAGTATAAGTACGTTAAATACGATTGTTGTTTGTTTAGTTTTATACACGATAGCACACACTCACACACACACACACACACACACACACACACACACACACACACGCATGCATATATATGTGTACTACATAGCGGTATACATATAAATGTATATAAAATTTGAAAAAAAAAAAACAAATGAAGGAGGCAAAACGTAATCAAGCATTAGTGAAAAGTTTCGACCAGTTAAAAACCAAAAATAACAAAAATTAACATTACATTTATTAAAAAAAAAAAAAAAAATACAATCTAAATAAAACCCACGTCAAGAAATCAATAATTACAAATGGATTAAACTAAGCCCTACATTTAGTTTTAAACATTAAATATATTGCAACAATAAACAAACATGAAAATTAAACTCAAATTAAAGCATAAACAGAAAATTCTCAAAAACACGTCTCCGGTGTGCGTCTATCAATTTTACATGATCTGGAATTCTACATAAGTATACATACATTGCTGTAAAATTACATACATATGTATGAGCGCCAAACTTTTTTTTATAGAACTGCCACTTGGGTCAAGCGACCAACCACAAGTTCTAAAGCCACCAAAGAGCTCCAGCGTGCTCCACGCGTGCGCTCCTGCGCCACATGAAGAACACAGATTGGTGAGTGCAAGAGATGATTGAGGGGCAGATGGTGGAGTCACCCTTTCCAGTGGTGGAGCGGCAGTCTGTCCAACGGCGACACAACGCTGATTGCCGTCGCAGTTGCTGTTGTTGTTCAAGCCAAAGCTGAGGTTAAGTAAAGTCCAGGGTATATTGAACACAGGGTGAGGCATTTCCAAAGAGCAGCCAAACCTGGCTTGTGTTTTGAGACTTTTGGGTGAATGTGGGTGGACACCTATACGCGTGTGCTGCACATACTGCAGTACCCTACATGTATTATACCATGGGTTACCTGCCGGGGGCGGGTGGCAAGGGGGGCAGCCGACAACCAGCGCGGCGGCGTCCGGAGTCTGTGCCGCGGCTCCCGCTACATGGGATTCGTTTGTGGTACATGCATAACTATTTTACGTATTTCAGTCTCTCGGTATGCTTGATCTCTCTCTTGATTGTGCTCTCTACTGATCTCTGAGCTTGCATGAATGTGTGTGTGTGTTTCTCTACCTGATGCCTGGGCATCAGTCGCGGCCGCGACTGCACTACCACTTTCACACGGCTTACAGAAAAGCAAAACAAAAATGAAAAAAAAAAGAACAACAGGCGGCAGCAGCGACGGTGGCGCGGCAGTGCTTTCGAGTTCGAACTTTGGAAAATGAATGCAATGCACAAGCCACAGAATGAACGGCGAAGCTGAAAAGATACAAAAAGTGCACTGCGTCCAGGGCCGGTTCAGGCGAAATGCGGTAGAGGAAGGTTCGTTTCCTAAGTCTTTTGTATTTTTTGTACCTGCACTGCATGTGTGCAGGTGTCGTTGCTAACGGTGAGGGGAGGGACAAGTGGACGCTGCTTCGAAAGAGTATGAGGCAGAGGAGAGAGAGAGAGAGAGATCGTCAGTGGAACTACCTGTGGATCCAGAGAGCGGGTGAGTGCCTGCCTCTGTGCTGGTGCCTTGGGAGTGTAGACGCATACATACATACATGCATATGTATGTATATCGATTCAAATGAATTTTGAGTATTCGTTCACTCGCGCTGCGGTTGCTGCGACGCTGCTGCGCTGCTCGCTCGCTCAATATCAGTTACGAAAGAGATGAAACCATAAAAAGCAATAATAATCGGGCATACAGACGCACGCTCTCCTCGCTCTCTCACACAGCCAACCCACCTGTGTGGCTCACACGGACAGCACCTTGACACCAACACACTGGCACACGAGACGTTGCGTCGGCGTCAGCAGCAGTCTCAGCAGCACCAGCAGCAGCAGCCGCAGCACTCATAGCAGCAGCGGCGGCAACAGCAAACGGCAACGGCCAAGCGCACATTCAACAGTTGAACAATCTCCAATTGACTCTTTGGGCATTATAGCCGAGCCGATCCGATCCGTTCAAAACCGATCCCGAGAGCTCTACTCCACTCGCCTCAACGTTCATCCGCGACGACAAGTTTTGCGTGTACCTTTTTCCGTGCAGCGCGCCACACTCCGTTCCCACAGCTCGCCCTGGCCCCAACGAAAAACCTGGACACTGCTCGACGCATTGTACAGTAAATAATAATACATAGTTCTATAGTGCGAATCTGTTCGATCTGACGTCGTCGTAGTCGTAAAACAAACACACAAAAAATCCGCGCTTAAACTTTTTCGAACAAAAAAAAAAACACAAATTTCAGTCAAGAAGAAGAAGAAGAAGAAGGAAAAAACGAAAAATATCTATATGTATGAGGAGGCCCGTGCGCGTGTGTTTGTGTATCTGTGTGCTGGTTCGCTCTTTGCTGGAAGAGAGTGTGTGTGCGAGTGAATGTGTGTGCGTGTGAGTGAGCTGAAATGAGACGCCATCAAAGCTGAGCGCAAAAGCAAAAGCAACAAAAGCAAATAATAAAATTCAAAATAAAAATAGTGATTAATAACAGTGAAGCGGATAAGCAGAAGAGGAAGAAGAAGAAGAAGGAGAAAACGAAGAAGCAGGAACAAGCAGCATGAAATAATTACAAATTAATTGTGCAACAGAAACAAACAACAACAAAAAAAAGAAAGAAAAACTCAAAGAGAGCCACCAACATGAAACATGTTTAAGCATTTTGCGAGCAAAGAGAAAATACGCAAATGCCATTTCCCACCTTCTCTTTACACACCAACAATGGTAAAAAAATGTTAACTTCTTTGTGATCAAACGCCCCACACACTCCCCCCAAAACCCCCTCACACGGCGAGACTGGGGCCAAAATGCAACAACGTCCACCCGCCCGCCAGCAGAAAGAGCAACAGCAACAGCAGCAGCAGCAACAACTACAAAAACAACAACAACAACAGCTCCACATACCACAGCGAGTGGCATATTAGAAGCAAAAAAAAAAAAGTCAAGCCAACAAAAGAGGCCAGAGCTTGGGGACCCAGCAAGACGCATACAACAACAGCAACAAAAAGTACACCAACAACACGAAAGTGGCGAAAGGTGCACCCACCAGCAGGCAACAGCAACAGCAAGCAGTCGTAACATTTAAGCGGGCACACCGCATTCGGTTTTGCCTTTCCACGCAGTGTTAGAGCCAACTCCAACTCCAAATCCAACTCCAGCTCCAGCTTCAGTTCCAACTCCATTTGCAGTTCCATCTGAGTGCCATAGAGATCCTCACTAAGTGCCAAAATCAACAGCCTAATCCCTGATCCCTGCGCTTACCTGCCAGAAGCCAGAAGCCAGAAACCAGAGCCACAGCTTAGGACGGACACAGCTGCTCAAGTAAGTAAATGCCAAGAAGTAATTATAAACGCATCAGTAGCAGTGCAGCCCTGGGTTTTGGGCCAGCCCTGAACGGAGCACCCTGTATCCGAGCCGCAGACATGGCCTAAGCCTCGGTCGGGTCGGTCTCCCGTCTCCGTCTCCGTCTCAGTCTCAGCCTCTGTCTCAATTGTTGTTGCTTTTCCTCTTCTGTTTCGTCTTCTTCTTCCTCTTGATGTTGTTGCTGGTATCTTTCGCGCACACATTCCTCTTTGTTTGGTTTTATTTCCAAGTCGTTCGGCGACTGCGCAGCCGCAGCAGCAGTGGCAGTGGCTGAGTAGCGGCAGCGGCAGGTAAAACGGTTAAGTATTGGTGTTGCCAACAAAACCATGTTAGAGAGAGCGAGAGAGAGAGAGAGAGAGAGCGCGTGCAAGAGCAAAACAGTGAGAGAGGAAGAGCGCAAACAGCAAACAGAACAGAGTGGGAGCAAAAAAAGGGATCAAAAGTTGGTAATCAAGGTGTATTTTGTGCAAGGTAAGGTAGATGCAAGATGTGCTCCCACGATAATGTTTCCTATTTTAGGAGGAAACATATACATATACATAAGTATATATCAGGGTGCTATTAGAAGAGTTTGCCCAGGTGGAATAAAACTATCCCAGGTGGAATACGAAGAACGGTAAAGCCTCACCTCGCACAAATACACCTTGCTGGTACTTGCCTGTTAGGACGGACGCCACTGTCTCTGCCACTGCCACTGTCGCTGGCTCGCTCTGCTCCTGACTCTGTGCCGTCTCTGCAGCAGCCTTTCCTCTGCTCTCAGCCTCTGCTGCCGTGTTGTTCGAAAATCGATGATGTTGCCAGTGTTTCTGATTACGTTTTCTTCTGCCTCTGCTGTCCATGCTGCTGCCTCTGCTACCGCTGCGCCTCTCTTGTTCTTTGCGAGGTTTTTTTTTTATTATCATTTTTATTCTACCTTTTTGTTAGTGGTCGCCGCACGTTGATGATGATGGTGATCAATTTGGGAGCCCCGCGATTATGGTACAGTAAAAGAACATCGTCCGTTCCATCGTTCTCTGGCTCGCTCGCAGCACACACGCATACACATGCTCATACGCACATGATCGCATGAGACACAGATACAACACACATGGTCATGCACATGTAACCCACACACACAAACAATGCTAAGGTGGGGATAGAAGGAAAGGGAAGGGGAACTCTTCGTGAGAGAGTTATTTTATTTTCGTGTTCGTGTTAACGTTTATTGTTTTTCTTTTCTTTACCTTTCTTCGTTTCTTTCGCTTGTTCTTTGCCTTCTTGACTCTCCCCCCTTTCCACACCACACCGCACCGCACCACTCCCCTACACTCCTCTGCTCTTCAGGGTTTTGTGTTTTCTTTGGCTTTGGTTATTGATGCCCAATGGATGCCCCGATGCTCTGACCGTCGATGATGGCTTAGGGTTACGTTGCTTTTTTTACCAATTCCATTCTCTCTCTCTCTCTCTCGCTTGCTCCATCATCGTTTGTGGTAAGGTTGTTTCGGGGCTAAGAAGACTAGGGGGTTACGAGGGGCCAGGTAAAAATCAAATTTCAAATTATGTCAAATCTTAATGGGATTTGAAATGGAATTGCTTTTGGTATTCCCTTCGTATCTGAGATGAAGCGAACCCATAGGGAATTGTAGGGGGAATGGCGTGAAGGGGGGAATAGATCGTTAGATCGTTAGATCGTTAGAAGTTGTAGGCGTTGTCTCTCTCTCCCTCTCTCTCTGCTTTGAATAATGGGGTTTCTGCTTATGTTGGCAACTAAACAACTAAAATATATGTACTATGCATAGAAGATGTGACTTTAAGCTATATCTTCCATTCCTGAAGAGCAAATAAAGCTCCCCCAAACACGGACAAGCAATCAGGGCTCCAAAGAGAAGTTTCTAAATTAAAGCTATGAACGTTTAGGTCAAAGTTCGAGCTTTTGTTCTATGGTATTATCTGTGAAACATTACTTAATATTTACAGATTATATCTATTTTATTAGTTCCCAAAGAAATACAATCCGACGACCATCCTGATAGGGTTTACATTTATAAAGCTATTAAAGGGGAGATAAAATATATTTCCGCATAGTTTGCAAGTCTTTGTTTACGTGGTGGGCATTGTTCTGTCAATCTATGAAGTAAGTAAAAAAAAGCTAAAGAATTTTTAGTATATACGCCAAGTTATATGGATTAAGCGTACATATTTATATGAGATATTCGTACATACGTATGTACATTTGTGTGTACATTTGGTTGTACAATCCTTAAGCCCGCATTTAGGAAAGTTTTTTAAGTTCTTCCCCATGCTCTGCACAAATCTATTCTACCGCAGATTAACTGCGATTATATTCCAGCGATATCGTTTCGATTTTGAGGGCAAGTCCACAGTGAATTCTTTGTTGATTTCTTTGGCACCTTCCGAATGAATAATTGGCTCCATCTATCAGCATCTCTCCGCCATTCATGCGGCAAGTAAGCCCCAGAGGCCTCTGCGCCCCGGACCATCGGGTTCGAAGCTGGCTGGCTGCCCCGAGGGCCATGGATATGGATCGCCATAGCTGTCTGACCCACATAGATCACAGCTTATCCGGGGTGCAGATGTCGGTTTAATTGTTTCCTAATTGCCTTTCTACTTTCTACGCAACTGGATCGTTGATTGCCCCTGTTGCGGATCTGGATGCGAGAATCTTTAGCATGCCACGCGCCGCCGCGACCCACACAACGCTGGGACCAGAGACCAGACCGGATCGGATCGAATCGGATGGGGATGGGGATCGGGAGTGTGCCGTGTGTGCCCAAAACTAGTCTATCAGCACGCCACATGACACTGACCTCACCTACTAACGGAACCCCCCGATGACTGGGAGTAGGAGGAGGAGGAGGAGGAGAGTCATGAACTCGCGCCGGTTGCCGACTTGGGTCTGACAAAACGGGTTTATCCACATCCCAGCCGCAGCGGCAGTGAACTTTGCAGCACCACCGCACCGCCACCACCGACCATCCGAGGCAGCAACAATTTTTGGCTTTATCATCAAACAACAATACTGGGGACTGGATCTGGGACTGGAACTGGGAACTGGGACCTGAACCTGGACCTGCCAGGCTGTGCCCGAACCGGCTACAGCTTCTGGATTAGGTCAAGGATTGAGCCGTTTGTACCTGTTCTCGGAGCAGCAGCAGCAGCAGCAGCCCGAGAGAGGGAGCAACTTGTTGCTGTCGAAGTTGATGTTGTTTTGTTTGGTTTGGTTCAGTTTCAGTTTCGGTTTCGGTTTCAAAATCCCTCATAAACATGTTTTTTGCTGTGCGGCAGATAAAACTAAGTCGGAGATGAGATTCTGGACTATTAACAGCTGATCGACAGACTGGTTGCCTCTCCGCTGCGCTGACGCTGACTCTGACTCTGCCGCTGCTCTGCTCTGCTTGTTTGCGGCTTGTCTTGTTTGGCAGTGTCAGGGCATTATGGGCACGTCGGGCATTGGGCACGGGTTAGGGAGGAGCGGCGAGGTGTATATCTCTGTTTAATTTCACACAAAGCACCGTTGTAAACAAAACAACATCGCACACAAATATGGCAGCGCTGCCAGCTTCGCTTCGCTTCTGTCTGCGTCGACGCCGCGACGCTTCCCAAACTCCACCTGCCTCTTCTTCTTACCCACCTGTTGCTGTTGCTGCTGTTGCTGTTGCTGCTGCTGCTGATGAGCTGTGGCTGAGTTTTGTGTTGTGTTGTGGTTGTGTTGTGGTTGTGCTGCGTTGGGTTGGGTGGTTGAGTTATGCAGTTACACGTTTGACATTTGCGAAGGAGTCAAACTTGTTCGACGGGCACGTGTGCGCACAGGCCAATCTGGCTTGCTTTTGTTTGCTCCCCCCCCCACCAGCCTTTCGTCTGTCTGTCTGTCTTTCCATTCGTCTGCCGTTCTCTCGGTTTCCGTTTTTGTTTGTTTGTTTGTTTGTTGGTCTGTTTTGTGTGCTTGCAAATCGCTCACCAACAACAACAACAATAACAACAACAACAACAACGACTCATCGCCGACGTTTGAACCCGTTCCGTCTTCCGATTATGTTTGGGTTACGCTGCATCGTTTTGTTGGGTGGGGGTGTGTGTGTTTGTGGCCCGGGCGCCAAGCAGACTGCGATAGCGACACAACGACATTTGTTGAGCATGCACATAGGGAGTGGTGGGGGGTTGAAGCTACCGTGAAAAAGGTAGCGAGGAAGAGGAATGCCAGGGTGAGGGTGAAAGAGAGAGTGAGGTGGCTATGATTCAGTTGCGGATTCCCTGTGCAGTTGGCAAGCAGTACAAGCAGTTCAAACACAAAACAAGCAGTCGCGCCCAGCTGATAGGAATTTCCCTGAAGTTACAAGTATTTCTTGGACTAGAACCCACTTGCAGATGTCAAAGATCTTTCAAGACTTGCTCCCTCCATATACACATATTTTCCACACTGTCTAATCACTTGTGTCCACTGTTTCATTTGTTTCTTTTGCAGCAGGAGCTGAGCAAACAAGGAAGGAAGTTCCTTAGTGCCATAGAAGCGACAACGAAGAACAACCTGAAGCGAAGCTCAACCGAACACCGATCCAAATCGAATCGAATTGAATCGAATCAAATCAACATTAGTGCCTTCAATCAATCCGTTGATAAGTGATATTTATTATGTTTATACCCGCAAGGAGCTACAGAAGCAGCTGCAACAGTGAGTGCCTTAACCATCGGTCGGGAATCGATGAGCAGGCCAAGTCCTAGGCGCAGTCCTTCCTCATCGCAGTCCTAATCCACGAGTGCAATCCGGAATCCAGTTCAAATTAGTGAAGTAAGCCAGGGAGCCTTAGCCAGGAGCGACAGCCAGCTCGAATAATGTCCACATCCACCGCCACAACGAGTGTCATCACGTCCAACGAGCTCTCGTTGTCCGCCCACGGGCACGCCCACGCACACACGCACTCCCACACGCACAGCCACGGCCACGGGCACTCGCTGCACCAGCACCCCCACAGTCGGATCGGAGTGGGCGTCGGAGGAGTCGGCGTAGGAATCGGTGTTGGCGTGGGAGTGGGAGTCCTCAGTGACGCCTCTCTATCACCCATCCAGCAAGGAGGAGGAGGCGGCGGCGGAGGCGCCAACAGTTCCCCCCTGGCGCCCAACGGAGTACCCCTGCTGACCACCATGCACCGCTCCCCGGACAGTCCCCAGCCGGAGCTGGCGACCATGACGAACGTCAATGTCCTCGACCTGCACACAGACTCCTCGAAGCTCTACGACAAGGAGGCGGTCTTCATCTACGAAACGCCCAAGGTGGTGATGCCCGCCGACGGTGCCGCGGACGATGCCCATGCCATCGATGCGCGGATCGCGGCCCAGCTGGGCACACAGCACGCCCAGCAGCAACAACAACAACAGCAGCAGCAGCAACAGCAGCAGCAACAGCAGCAGCAGCAACAGACGGAGCACCAGCCGCTGGCCAAGATCGAGTTCGATGAGAATCAAATCATCCGCGTGGTGGGACCGAACGGCGAGCAGCAGCAGATCATCTCGCGAGAGATCATCAACGGGGAGCACCACATCCTGTCGCGAAACGAGGCCGGGGAGCACATCCTCACGCGCATTGTCAGCGATCCCTCCAAGCTGATGCCCAACGACAATGCGGTGGCCACCGCCATGTACAACCAGGCGCAGAAGATGAACAACGACCACCAGGCGGTCTATCAGACCTCGCCCCTGCCACTGGACGCCTCCGTGCTGCACTACAGCAACGACAACAGCAACGTGATCAAAACGGAGGCGGACCTCTACGAGGACCACAAGAAGCATGCGGCCGGCGGGGGCTCCATCATTTACACCACCTCTGACCCGAATGGCGTCAATGTGAACGTGAAACAGCTGCCCCACCTGGCCGTGCCGCAGAAGCTCGACCCGGACCTCTACCAGACGGACAAGCACATCGATCTGATCTACAACGACGGCAGCAAGACCGTCATTTACTCCACCACCGACCAGAAGGGTCTCGAGATCTATTCGGGCGGCGACATTGGCAGCCTCGTCTCCGACGGCCAAGTTGTGGTCCAGGCAGGCCTCCCCTATGCCACCACCACCAGTGCCACAGGCCAGCCCGTCTACATCGTTGCCGATGTCACCGACGACCATCTACAAAGGTGAGTACGAGTCGGCTCTAAGGGCTTTAAAGGGTTGCCGGAACGGTTCCCTAAGTGGTTCGGTGTGAATGTTTTGTGCCCAGCTTGAGCAGAGAAACACTCTTTAATTATTGGCTTAATTGGAACTTTACGGGGCGGCTCTCAATTAGGAGAAGTCGTTTCATTGTTACGGGATATAATATTTGTATACTTTTGCTCGTGTAGTACTCGTATATGCATCAAGCTGTGTCCTCAATGTTCTCACAAGTACATAACATTTGCCTGATTACTAGGGGGCTTTAATTCCAGGCTATAGATGTCTTTCAGTCGGAAAATACGAAGTATCTGTAGAAGGAGTGTACCCAACGCTTTTCTCTAGTGTTGATCTATGAATCCACATTCAAAAATACTCATTTAGATAATACTTATATCGTTGAGCCAAAACATAAACCCATAGCTATCACGTATCATAAATCATCTAGCTTAACTATACTTTATGAGGGAATTGGGGATTCCCAAATTAAAATTCACCAAGGTACGTTACAAAGGTAACCTCTATAGACACGAAAAGAATGTTTTCCTCCACTCCACATCTCTGGGTTGGGTTCTCTTCTAGATGTTAGATGTGTTTCTGGTTCCTGTTGCTGCTGCTGCTTGATGATGATGCAGCGGTGATTACAACATCAACATCTTAATTGGGGACAGTGCGATCATAGTTTTTAGCTTCGATTCGGTTGTCCGTCTGCCCCATCCCGTCCCAGCGTCTCCCGTTTCTCAATTCGCTGTTCTCTGTTCTCCATTCGATGCCGTTCTTCAGTGTCTTCCAGGTCCTTTCAAATCAATGTTTGTCATTTGCATTTCTCATGCATTTGAATTAACCGCTTTTGCCGGGCGCGCATTTTACTGTTAATTATTGCGATAGGCCAGGCCAACATCAGCAACCGGCAACAGCAGCAGCAACGCCAGCGCATTCTGGCATTCTCCATGCCCCATTCCCGTTCCCCCAAACATTGAGTTCAAGTCCAGAGTCCTCATCCTGAGTCGCCCAATCCCCAATCCCCATGCCCCATTCCCCATTCCCCCAGTGGAATGACAGCTTCCGTTGTAACTGTTTCTTCTATACGTTATTGCTGCCCCTGCAACATCAGCAACAGCAGCAGCAGCAGCAGCAGCAAAAGCAACAGCAACAGCCACAACTTTGGCATTCTGGCGTGCATCGAATGCGCAAGTAGGCGAGCTAATAACACCCAGATCCAGGCACCATCACCAGCTCCAGCTCCAGCTTCAGCTCCAGCTCTACCACGCGGATGTCTGTCGCAACCACAGAACAGAGCCACAGAGCGGAGCCCCCGAATGGGTTGGCAATTCATTTCAGAGCAATCGCCAGTGGTGGAGCAGCCAGTGGCGGTGGTGCGGCCTGGTGGGGCATTTGGTATGCGCAAGTAATAAAAATTTGAATATAAATTAATCTAATAGAGAACCGTTAGCGAGGTGAGATGCAAGCGCAGCCTCCTCCGACTCCTTGAGCAAGGTGCCGCCGGGGGCAGGCCCGGCTCGGGCTCGGGAGCCTCGCGTCGAGAGCAACTAAGTCATCGTCATCGGGCTGGAATGGTCGCTCGCTCGATCGCTTGGATGTTCGGACATCTGCAACGCCATCGCATCTGCATCAGCTGCAGCCGCAGCCACAGCAGCATCAGCATCAGCTTGGCCATCGCCATCGCGACTCCTCCGCCTCCATCTGCCTCCATCCCGATGCTCGTCGTATTCTTATTCTTCTAATGCCAACGTCCCGTCCCATCCCATCCTGTTATAGCAGCAGCCAGCCACAGAGAGTCGTCCGTTGCATGTTGCATGCGCGGCAAGGTCCATAAATAACGACAAAATTGCGTTTCCGCATATGGACCGACGTCGTCTTCGATTCGGGCTTTGGGTCTGGCTTTGGCCTGGCTCTGACTCTGTCTCTGCCTCTGACTCTGCCTCTGACTCTCACTGTGGCATGCTGTGGATGCTGCCGCTTGACCAGCCTGGGACCTTGCGTGTTGCCCGATTGGACTTGGCCTCAGTCTCTGCCACATCCAGAGACGGCACAGCCTCAACCAAGTTGATGTACAGTTTGTTTTGTTTGCTCGTTGATAAGCAGCCGCATCCGAGGACATGTCCAAATGTCCACATGTCCACATGTCCGCCTGTCCGCGTCCACGTCCCAAAAGTGTTCGCTTTGCCACGTTTTCATTAAAGTCAAATTAAGCCGCAGCCAATTCGTGTGTCGGAGTAGAGGCGGCTGGAACGGACAGCGTCTGTATAATTCCAGTTGACCTTTGTTTCGTGCGATCCTTTCCATTGTGTCTGTCATCGCATCACCTATCCCTTTCAGCGTCATACTCTGCACTCTACACTCGACAGCAAAGGTTTGCTTTGTGCTGTGGTTGTAACTGGAGAATATCCTGCAGCGATTATCATAAGTTCAGCAAAGACTTAAGACTCACAAAAGGATATTCCAATTCCAATAGGAATAGCATTATTTTATTCTTAAAAATCGATGATCCAAAGCCAAGCTTAAAGCTTAGCCAAGTCAAAAGCTCCGTCAAATCAATTCAATTGCATTTTTTAAATTAGCAACTAATTATTTTCGTTTTACGATCCGGCCGTATTGGCCAGATTATTCGGCTGAGTTGAGTGCAAATCAATGTACGATTTTATTATTCTCGCTATTTGGTAATAAAATTGTTTTATTACCCTGTACATTTGGCATTATATTTTTATTTAAGCGCACAAAGACTTTTGCAACAGGCTCCCCCCCCCCTCAAGCGGCATGGATTCGTATAGTTTCATTGATTGCAAATGAAAAAGTTTTATTGGAAACGAAAACGATTCCCGGCGATGGGAATGCAATATACGAACGACAGCATTTGTAAATGGTTTGTAATTGAAATTCGCAGTGATATTAATTGGGGAATTTTACTAACCGAAAACGAAGTGCGAGAGGAATATAAAAAAATGATCTTCATTTTTTGATATGTTTAAAGTACATTTATCGAAATGCAAACAGTGTCAGCAATTAAACCGAAATTTGAATACTAAGAAAATCCCATTAATGCATAAATAAATATTATATCTAATATAAATCTGCACACACTATATATATTACTCCCAGTCAATGTGTCCATAAAATACAATATCTTTGTGCCAAAGTAAAATGGCAATCAAAATGTTATAAAAAATTCATCAAAATTTGCATTTCCTTTATTAAGCAAATATGTAGGTAGGCAGGTAGGCAGGCAGGCAGGTACCTTTGACATTTGATGCAGCTATAAATAGAATCGACTTAGTGGAATCGTTTAGGAATCATATTGGAATAAAAGCTCAAAGTGCTATATAATTCGATGGCCATAAAATATATGATTATTATTATTAATTGACGTAAGCTCTTCTCTCTCTCTCTCTCTCTGGGAAATATGCATCTTTGGCATTTGGTAATTCCCCAACATTTTGTAACATTTTTGTTGCACAGTGTTTCGGGTAGGGGGGGGGATATTGTTGCTGTTGTTGTTGTTGTTTTCCTTATTGCGATGCGGAAACCCCACAAATTGTGCAAAATGAATGCATTTTGTGAAATTTCCATACACAAGGATAACCTTCGGCAATAGCCTTCTGATCGGGGCGTTCGCGGTCAATGCGTATGTCACACACGTGTAACCATATACAGATGCATACATACATACATACATATATATGCAAATATCGTATGTGTATGTGTGTGTATGTATATGCCACTTACTTTCACTTTAACCGATCGTATTAAATTTCTGAGCTGTAAAACATATTTTTTTGCTCGTTTTTTTTTTTTTTGTTTTTTCCCCCCCATTTTATATTTTTGTATTTTTTCTTTGCTTTATTTTATTTTACTTTAATTTTCGATTTTGCTAAGTTTATTATGTTGTGTGTGTGTGCAGGGGTTGTTGTGGTTACACTCCTGCTCAAAAATATAGCTCCACTCTTGAGTGTCTCTTATCTGGCGATAGAATTGAGACGCCTGTCGCTGCCTCGTCCTCTCTCCCTGTCGCTCTTCATCCTCATACTTGCTGCACCCCTCCCCTCTCCTTGTGCGATCCCTGATTGACAATATTTTAGTATTTTTACTGTTGCCATTTCACAGCCTCTGGCAGCAGGCTGTCGCGCAGGCGCGCTGCGCAAACGGAGCATTTCCATGCCCTTCCCCACACCCGCAGTGGATCGGCTATGCTGGGATGTTTGTTCGGTTGGAATATTATAACACAACACATCGCTTTGAAAACTTTGGAATATAATTATTTTAAAGAGATATTTCTATATTAAAATCATATGAGAAATCCACCAAAGACATTAAATATGCAGAAACCTCTGAAACTGGCGTTAAATTATAGTATTGTTGAATTGTTGAGTTAGTTAGAGCTTAAAGAAGGTTTTATAATGATTGCAAATGTTAACTTTTTATTTAAATTGCTAGTAAAGGGTATCCGTAGTGCGTTTAGTTGTTAATTCTGTTGATTTCTGCTTCTTGCTTCTCATTTTATTACGAGTATTATTAATATTAAAAGGTGCAACAGCGTTTGGACATTTTGATACAATAACAAACCTGTTCACCTGCGCAGTCTACCTGCAGCAAGAAGAGATACGTAGAGAGCGGGAGAGAGAGGGGGAGAGAAGAGAGAGAGAGAGAGAGAAGAGAGAGATGGAGAAGTGGAGACGACGTTGGGGAGACAAGAAAGAAACATGTTAACACAATTCAGAGTCTCATACGCTCGACGTCGACGTCGCCGTTGACTTGTCGCCTGTTGTTGTTGTTGTTGTTGCTGCTGTTGTTGTTGTAATTTTGTTGGTGTTGCTTTTATTGTTGTCGTTGTTGCTGTTGTTGCTGTTTTATATATTTGTTGGTGATCTTTGAGTCTCTTGCTCCACTCGAAAAACTCTGAATTGGCGCTACAAGTTTATCGAACGCTCAAAGTGGTTTTCAGTTGATATCGAAAAGCCACAAGGTCGAC